AATGGTATGAGGACGAGGATGAGGCTGAGGATGAGGAAGAGGTTGAGGATGAGTGTGAGGACGAGGATGAGGCTGAGGATGATAGGTCTTTTTCTAGTGAGTCTCTTGATGAGGCTGAGGATGAGGCTGAGGATGATAGGTCTTTTTCTAGTGAGTCTCTTGATGAGGCTGAGGACGAGGTTGAGGATGAAGAAGAGGTTGAGGATGAGTATGAGGATGAGGATGAGGCTGAGGATGATAGGTCTTTTTCTAGTGAGTCTCTTGATGAGGCTGAGGACGAGGATGAGGAAGAGGTTGAGGATGAGTATGAGGACGAGGATGAGGCTGAGGATGATAGGTCTTTTTCTAGTGAGTCTCTTGATGAGGATGAGGCTGAGGATGATAGGTCTTTTTCTAGTGAGTCTCTTGATGAGGATGAGGCTGAGGATGACGAGGAGGCTGAGGATGAGGAGGAGGCTGAGGAAGAGGTTGAGGAGGAGGCTGAGGAAGAGGTTGAGGAGGAGGCTGAGGAAGAGGTTGAGGATGAGGATGAGGGTGAGGACGAGGCTGAGGAGGAGGCTGAGGAAGAGGATGAGGTTGAGGACGAGGATGTGGAAGAGGTTGAGGATGACGATGAGGTTGAGGATGAGGCTGAGGAAGAGGTTGAGGATGAGGAAGAGGATGAGGCTGAGGATGATAGGTCTTTTTCTAGTGAGTCTCTTGATGAGGCTGAGGACGAGGTTGAGGATGAGGATGATAGGTATTTTTCTAGTGAGTCTCTTGATGAGGCTGAGGAAGAGGTTGAGGATGAGGTTGAGGATGAGGATGAGGCTGATAGGTATTTTTCTAGTGAGTCTCTTGATGAGGATGAGGAGGAGGCTGAGGAAGAGGTTGAGGATGAGGACGAGGATGAGGCTGAGGATGATAGGTCTTTTTCTAGTGAGTCTCTTGATGAGGCTGAGGACGAGGTTGAAGATGAGGAGGAGGCTGAGGAAGAGGTTGAGGATGAGGAGGAGGCTGAGGAAGAGGTTGAGGATGAGGAAGAGGTTGAGGATGAGTCTGAAGATGAAGGGTATTTTTCTAATGAGTCTCTTGATGAGGCTGAGGACGAGGTTGAGGATGAGGAGGAGGCTGAGGAAGAGGTTGAGGATTACGATGAGGATGAGGTTGAGGATGATAGGTCTTTTTCTAGTGAGTCTCTTGATGAGGCTGAGGACGAGCTTGAGGATGAGGAAGAGTTTGAGGATGAGGCTGAGGATGATAGGTCTTTTTCTAGTGAGTCTCTTGATGAGGCTGAGGACGAGGTTGAGGATGAGGAAGAGTTTGAGGATGAGGACGAGGATGAGGCTGAGGATGATAGGTCTTTTTCTAGTGAGTCTCTTGATGAGGCTGAGGACGAGGCTGAGGATGACGAGGAGGCTGAGGATGAGGATGAGGCTGAGGATGAGTATGATAGGTCTTTTTCTAGTGAGTCTCTTGATGAGGATGAGGCTGAGGATGATAGGTCTTTTTCTAGTGAGTCTCTTGATGAGGCTGAGGACGAGGCTGAGGATGACGAGGAGGATGAGGCTGAGGATGAGGCTGAGGATGAGGCTAAGGACGAGGATGAGGCTGAGGACAAGGATGAGGATAAGGACGAGGATGAGGCTGAGGATGATAGGTCTTTTTGTAGTGAGTCTTTTGAGGTATCTAGTGAGTTCTCCGGATATGACACCACAAGCTTTGAGGAAGAAGACGATGAAGATTCCCCGGACTGCCAAGAAGACCGTGCCTCTAGGAAAAGGAGAAGAGACGAAGATGAGGAAGATGATGAAGACAATGACCACCTTCCACCTCCTCTTCGGTTCACCCTGAGGATCCCCCCCCCCTTCAGACTCTCTTGGAACCACGAGGAGCCGGAGGATTCCCCGGACTGTAAAGAAGACCATGCCTCCAGGAAAAGGAGAAGAGAGGAAGATGAGGAAGATGATGAAGACAATGACCACCTTCCACCTCCTCTTCGGTTCACCCTGAGGATCCCCCCCCCCCTTCAGACTCTCTTGGAACCACGAGGAGCCGGAGGATTCCCCGGACTGTAAAGAAGACCATGCCTCCAGGAAAAGGAGAAGAGAGGAAGATGATGAAGAGGAGCCCCCTGGGAAGAGGCCTTGTTGCGAGAGGCATGTTTGAGAATAGGGATTTCAAGAACCTTCTTTTAACGCCTTCAACAATCTATTTTATTGCTGATTTGTTGACTTTTGGAGGTGGGAAGGCTGAAGGACTGGAAACTGTCACACCTAGATATCATTTATAGATTGTTTTTATATCTGGCAGGTCTAGGGATGCCTTAGGTAGCAGCGTCTTGCACCCTGGCTTTTCTTTACCCCGCTGCTAGATTTATTTTTTTAGATGCTAAGGAGTCTGGCAGGTCTAGGGATGCCTTTGGTAGCGTCTTGCACCCTGGCTTTTCTTTATCCCGCTGCTAGATTTATTTTTTTAGATGCTAAGGAGTCTGGCAGGTCTAGGGATGCCTTAGGTAGCGTCTTGCACCCTGGCTTTTCTTTACCCCGCTGCTAGATTTTGATGCAAGTTTTAGATGTTAAGAATTTCTGTTAGCAAAGACATCTGAGGAAATGATAACAACTAATAAAGCAGAAATAGTCTAACATGCTCTATATCTATTGTGGACATTCTGCTAGATAACAGAAGGAACCCCAAACAGTTTTGACAAGATTAAACACAGAATGGAGGCAAATCAACAAAAACAAATAAATAAAAAAACACAAAAAGACAGAAATTAAATCCTGGTTAAAAGATCAACCACAAGGAGGCAAACCAATTCAACGAAACAGCTGGACATCACTGCTGAGGACAATGGAGGAGGTCAAACTTAAACCCTAAAGGAGAAAAACAGGAAAGAATGGAACAGAGACACAGCTTGTGGTGATCATCAGTTGGTGTGGTCTCTGGGATGTTGGTGAGAAGGTAGAGAGATGACGCTTGGTGGGACTAATTGATTTAGACCAGTTAGAGGCAGAGGACAGGACTGATGTGAGGATTTGAGTTAGGAGAAGCACCGACTGTTAGAAACGGCTTTCCGATGTGACTTGGTCTAGTTCTAGATGTTCCTCTGGTTAGTTAGTTTTCAGGCCTAGTTGGAGGGAAAAGAACCCTCTGCAGAAATATTCTCCATATCATCTAGGCCTGTCCTGACCGCAGTGGATCTCTTCTGTGTTTTTTGAATCCCATGTTGGACCGAGCCTCTCCAAGCTTTGGGCCATCAGAAGATGCTGATGAGATCTGCAGCGACCAAACCAGAGGAGGATCGTCTGGGCTGCTGACCTTCACAAAGGGTGAGAGCATGTTCAGTAAGGAGCAACAATAATCCATCTTTTAAATATATAGTTAACATTTCAGGTGGCCTCACTTAGTTTTTCATGTATGTTCAGACACTGTGGACGTCCAAAAGCAAAACTCCTGTGAGGAACCGGGATATCCAGGATGGTGAGGTGCTTTCCAGTCCCCACCTGAGGACGGCACAGAGAAAGACTGGAACAGAAAACACACGGAGTAAGACTTTATTAACACGACAAACCGACAACTCATTGAAACACAGGAAGTGCAAGATTATGATGAAAACAACATCCTGCCCCAGATTTCAACTTGGTGTGGAGGAAATTCTGTTGATTAATTTGTCTTATTTTTACAGGGAAAGCAGGTTGAACAGCTAGCAGTGTTCTAGCAGTCGGATCACATTGGAACAGAATCCATCCACACATGTTTGGAGGTATGTTGGTTTGACTAGAGAAACATCACATGCAGATAGGTTAAGACTCTGAGGATGCTTTGCTTCATTTATGAAGGAGCTGAAGAAGAGGACGGAGCACACAGTCCACTAAGGAGGAGAAACATGGCTCCTCTATTTGTCTCTCCAACATTCTGGAGTCTAAAAAACGTTGACGACCTCGCAGCTAAACCATCAGTCTGCTACACCCAGGAGAAGAAGGTAACAAACCTTTATTGCCTCCAGATGTTCATCAGTATTAGTGAAGATACTAAAAAAAATATGCAGATTTTTTTAACACTAAAAAATTAAACTGACAAAATAAGTATTGAATATGTAATCACGTTGAAATAGTAATGTGAATTTTTAGCTTGAAGAGAAAATAACAAATGAAATTTCAACTGAGTAGAAATAATGACAATGATTTTTTTTAGGTTAAAAATGTGTTCTGAGGATATTCTAACACTGAAACAGTAAGTACAAACATACAATATTTAAATTTCAGTAGCATTTTTAATTCAAATCCCAGCGACACAGATATACTTCCATAGACTGTAGACTCCAACAAATGCAGCATTTTCAGGCATTTTCTCCAAGCATCCATTGTTTATAGTTATCACTTCTGTTAACTTTCGGTTCTCCCTGTGTGTTTCCCTCTTCTATTGGTTAAAGTTACATCTCTCCCAGTGTTTATGTGTTTAAATTTCACATACTATCGTGTTCGTTCACTAACTCCTGTTTTTTTTTTCCAGATAAGGTCATCTGCTCCTTGGACCGGTGTCTATGTGATTGGCTGTGCTTTCTTGGATTGAATTCTGTGAATGCTATGATAAACTGTATTTATCTTTACCATATTGTAAATAGGATCCAACCGGATGTTTGTGTTTAGATTTTATTCTGTGTTTTTTTTTTTTTTACTTCTGTTACATGTTTCTGTATTAAAATTGTCATGTTAATTGCCTTTAGATGACATTTGTTGGGACTTGTTTCTATTTTAAAACTTATTTATATTAAATCCCCTTACTGGGTCTGGTTCTGTTTAAGTATGCTTCCTGTCGTTTTATCTTGATCTGTTATTTCTCACTATAATAAAGGTTTCATTGCAGTAATGTGAACAAGATCTGTTTGTATTTTCTGGTAAAGTGTCTTGAAATAAGTTGTTGTAAACTGATTCTTTATAAATAAACATAACTGAAGTCAAATGGAGCAAGAGTCCTAATATTACTATAGTACAGCGCTTTGGCAGATTGGTGGTTATTATTGTTTCCCTGTTGGGGGGTCTGACCTGACAGCTCATGTTAATAGAACAATTGTTCTTGTCACCTTGCAGTGTCAAAACAAATTAGCTTTAAATAAGGACAGTGAGACTTTCCTACTGCAGTTCTTCTCATTTTATTGACCTTATAGACAATCTGGGAGTTTAGCAGCAGAGCAGAAGGGACACATCAACACTGAGCCACACAAAGAACAACAAACAAATATGGGAGGATAATTAAAGATTAATGTTAAAATAAAACAGTAAAAAATTCAATCAACTAGGAAGAGAGCAGGAACTAAATACTTAGTGAACCCAAAGGCAAACAGCTTTGGTTAATTTGAATAAAACCTGGTTTTACGGTGATTTTCTCTTCTTTAAACTATACCTTTATATCTCTACCATACTTGGTCCCTCAGGGTTGCATTGCTCACTCCTTTTAGCAGAAACCAACTAGTTAATGTTTCCGGCTCTATGTTCTATCAAAAGAAAAGGGGAAAATGGATTTAAATGGATTGATGATCCTAAACTCACATTTAAACTGGTTTTGGAATAAATAAAGCAGCTTTAAATGAACATCTGGAACCTCGGCCTTTGTCATGTCTGGATGAACACGTTAAAGGCTACGTTCACACTGCAGGCATTGACGCACAGTTCAGATTTTTTTTAGGAAATCTGATTCTTTTGCGTGGTTGATCTCATTTCCAAATATGTAATCTTCTGTGTGAACTGAATTCATTCAACTTAAGTGTCACAAGGGAGCGTGTTCTATGTTTACAGAAGTAAACATGAAAGGTAGAGCTGGAGCACATTTGCAATCTTTAATTTCTTTCCCAGCCCCAGCCCGCCATTTTGACCCGGGAGCAGAAATACACATTATACATCTCATTATAAAGGCAGAAATATTCATTCCATTGATGGATCAACCTATTTACCAACTCAAAATAATACACTTAAGTAAAAAAAAGTGTCATTTTCATCTTGTTGTTTTTGTTTCATCTTTTGCAGTTTAATGCTGCAGATGGCAAAACTTCTGTTATTACCCGTAATATTAAAAAAAACACAAAATGGAGCTGTTTACAAATAAAAGATTTAAAAAAAAACCCAAAGCAAACAAATATACTCTGTGTGTAAAATAAATAAATAAATAAAAAATCCACAAATCTGTATTCAGATCTACAAATATGTACTGAGATTTACAAATCTGTATTCAGAATTACAGATCTGTACTAAGATTTGCAAATGTGTAGAACAATCTGTAAGCACACACAGAGACACTGTGTCCGAAGTATTTTCGCTTCAACACCCAGAAATACAGACACATCATTGGTTACAAGTCCAGCGGTTTCTCTGTTGGCTCTCTTTACACACGTGATTTTTGATACACTTATGCCGCATTTGTATCTGTAAAATCTGTAATACAGATTTGTGGATTTTTTACACATTTACAAACCAGATTACACACACACAAGTAGTTTTGCACATTTGCAGATTGTTGTACAGACACACAAATCTCCTCACACATTTACAGTTTCATTTACACATTTTCAAATCCCCCTGCACACGCACAAATCGAGATACAGATATACAACTCTCCACACACATTTGTAAATAATAAAGCAACAATTTTGGCCCCATAGAAAAGTAAAGTCTTGGATTAAAAACATGAGTAATTTAACGTCTGGGATGTTTGAGACATTAACGTTAACATCAGCCCAAAATAAAGTCGATTTAAGACAAGACCGAGTAACGTTAACTTAAGTGGTCTCGAAAACAGACAGCTACACCACAGGAGAATAACAGCCATAATCGAAAAACAAGTAAGCTTTCCTTCTTTTCCTCGCCTCTTGCTACAGCTAGCCACAAACAAACAGGGTGGTTTGTAAAAGTGATGAGGCTTGTTTTATTGTGTTTAACCGGGGCTTCTTCTTTATGCCTCAACGTTCTTGTCTCAGCATTCATAGTTGTGTAAAAAATGTTAGCGTCCATTTTGAGCAGGTCGACATACATACATACATATAGATATTGTATCAGCCAGCTAGTATTAGAATTTCAATTAAAGTGAACGCTTGCTAACCTAACGTCACTTGAGTTACTTGCTAGCAAAATGCTAGAGAATCAAGTCATGGTAATTGTAAGCTAGCAGAAGGACAAATATAACTGACCATTAACGTACACTTAATAAAGACAACAAACAACAAATAGCTTTTGATAACAACAAAAATATGCATTTATCTCTATATGCTTTTTCAAATTCGATGGTGAATTCTTGAAAGCCAGCAGTTCATGGTGTTTTGGTTGGCACAATTTGCAGCACATTCGCCAGGAGTCATTCTTGATGCCTACTATGTCAAACATCTCTTTCAGATAAGGCCAAGGGTGATCGGGAATGTCTTGCTGCTTTTCTGCCGAATCTCTGGGATCTCCGTTTTTTTCACTTTCCATCCTCTCGTCGTCCATACTTCTATGCTAACGCTAACGCTACCGCCACCAAGCTGCAATGATTTGCCGCGAATGAATACCGCCGAATCTGCGGATTCATCTTGCAGTGGTGCGTCAAATGCAACGTAGATTCCCATCCAATTAGATTGAATTTGGTATTGATGACGTGAAAAATAATAACTGTAACTCCATTGAAATGATTCAAAACTAAAGTAACGAGCCAATTTTTTAAAATGTAAGGAGTAGAAAGTACAGATATTTGTGTAAAAATGTAAGGAGTAGAAGTAAAAAGTCGCCATAAAAATAAGTAGTAAAGTAAAAATATCAGAAAAATCTACTTGAGTACAGTAACAAAGTATTTGTACTTCGTTACTTCCCATCTCTGCTCTTTAGTTTGTTGGATAGCTAAACTATTAGAAACCTCCTGACACGGTCAAATAAATACAAAGTTTCTGTTATAAGATGAGAACACTTCTCGTGTTCTTGGAATGAAAATTATTTTGCACACAAGACGAATATGTATCTTTCAGATTTAAAATTATATTAACACCAGCACCAAGCTTTGACTTCTTCAAAAATATAAAAACATTTGTTTTTAGCAGGTCTAGTAGGCTACTACCAGGGCCGGAGCTTGATGGGGGGCCAGAGGTGGCCATGGCCACCCTTAGCCAATCCTTGGCCACCCCTACCATTTATTTCCCTCTAATACAGACGGTGGCAACAGTAATACTCTCAAGGGGAACATTGAAAACATTTTAATTTTTGATTTTAACAATTACTTGACAACAATCTGTGTTTGATGATGCACATCAATATACTAACATTAAAGATAAGTACAGAATACCAGCAGAAATAGGTTTTGTTTTTTATGGGGTAAAGAGGAAATGATGTGTCTCTGCAAGTGATTTAGGAGTCTCCAGTGAAATCATAGATAAATATCTATTTTAATTAAAACTTATTAAATAAGCATTTTGTGTAGGTATTAGGCTTGTAAATATCAATTTTATGCAGAATGGTTTCTGATAAAAGTAGGTAAGAAATGACAATGGAAAACCTAAAAGTGTCATGATTTTCTTAGATCTGACCCACATGCAGTAAACCACTCAGAGAACCAGTGTAAAAGTTTGAACAGGTTTATTGATGAAACCAGCTGGGTTGGATTTAGGAAACAGTGAACTAGTTAATCGAAACTGGAAGAGGGAAGGGAAGTATCAGTGGTTAGTTCAGGATCGGTGGGAACTTTGAACAATGACTTGGAAAGACAGAGAAATCAGGACTCGCGTTAGTGGAGAAAACTTTCCTCCCAGAATCCAGTCAGTGTGGGTTTTTCCAGAGGTTGATACACGTTGGAGGGCGGACAGGTATAGACTTAATTAGACCCAGGGGAGCAATTGAGCGGACTGTCACTTGGGAATCCAGGAGGACATGAACAGAATTTGTGTAGGTTTATCCCCTGCTCAGTGTGAGACTCAAACAATCATTCCAGGGGGAGAAGGCCAAACATCCAGCTTGCAGGGAGGCTTCCTGACGAAAAGGCAAAGACAAAAAGTAGGTTAGGCTCAGCGAAAAAACAAAGACTAAGTTAGACTCAGAAAAACTCAGCTTGGCTAGAGTACCAAAACTGGCAAACACTCTGGCGCTGAGGTAGTGACAGTCCATGACTCAAATAGTCCTTAGTGATTAGTTAACCAGCCGCAGGTGTGTGAGAGGACCAACGAGGACAGGGCACAACCTGGTGGTGGAGGGAAAGAAGACACAAAAGCACAACCCACACAAACTGGATTCCTAACAAAAATAATTTTATCCCCTGTACCTTTTATTTAGAAAGCACGGATGTTTGAATATATATATATATATATATATATATATATATATATATATATATATTAGTGCTGTCAAAATTATCGCGTTATTATCGCGTTAACGCGAGGCCATTTTAACGGCGATAATTTTTTTAACGTGAGATTAACGCTATGTGGTTTTATGGTACAATTTTCCAAGTACATCCCGCTGCAGCCTGCGGGAAGGCGGGGCTATTTTCCCCCAGTCTGTGCATTTCTCATAGGCTTCCAGAGCGGAGCTCCTCAAGGAAAAAAGACGCTCATACACTGGGTAGCGCTAGTGCCTTTTCTTTAAGCCCCACAACCAACAAACAAGTTGAGTGTCTGGTAACTAGTAGCAACCTGAAATACGCTGAGAAAACAGATTACTGAGGTGAAATGGAATCTGCTACGGCACTCTTGCTGTCACAGCTCGGTATCGTGTGTGTGTGTGTGGGTGGGTGTGTCTGTGTGTGTGTGTGTGGGTGGGTGTGTCTGTGTGTGGGTGGGTGGGTGGGTGTGTGTTCTCATTTTTGTTAAGAGTCTGAAAAGTAACTTTCATAGACTGCCTCCATCTAGTGATGTCGGTCTATTGATTTTGATGTATTGATTGAAAATTGTTCATTATTATCTTGGTTAATTAACATCTAATGTTAACTGTACTACATTTTATAGCAGTAGGGTAAAATGCTTGTCTTTGTTCAAAAGACTGTATTAACTGTAAAGACTGTCTTTTACATCAGCCTGTTTTCAGGGCCTTTTTTTTGGCTACATATTTGTTATTTTTTGCTACATGCCATCTTCTTGCCATATGTTTCTATGGCATATATCAGTATCTGTGACCTGTTCTTATTTTAAAAAAAGAACATTGGCACAAACCTAGCCTGTATGTATTTTTTGTATGTCATCGAGAGTATTTGAATGATTTTCAATCAGAAAAAAAATTTGCGATTAAAATGCGATTAATCGCGAGTTAACTCAGGCATTGATGCGATTAATCGCGATTAAAAAAATTTAATCGATTGACAGCACTAATATATATATATATATATATATATATATATATATATATATATGTATATATATGTATATATATATATATATATATATATATATATATATATATATATATAAATGTTTTTTTTTTTTTTTCAGCAAAGGCTGTGGTAAAGTATAGTTTGTCTTTATTTAGAAAATATGGATGTTTTGCTTGTTAAATTTCCTGTTGGAACAGTGTAGAATGACGGTGAGGTTGTGGTGCCTATCCACCCCCCTCAGTGTACATTGGTTATTGCTTGGCCACCCTCATAAACATTTTCTGGCTACGCCCCTGCCTACTACGAAGAAGTTAAAGGCTGTTCGCGCGTAAGTGTTCAGTGAATCATCAGCTGAATCATGGCACATTGTGCGCAATTCCCAGTAAAACCCCGTTCCTGCAGCTTGACGAGCTGCTGTTCGCCGCTTTTTATAATATTAACTCCAAAGTTCAGCGCAGATGCGTGAAAGGAGGAGTGATCTGAGGAAGGATGAAGGTGATCCATGTCCAACTCCGACCGTCTATCACTTATTTTCGGATTTCTGTGCGGAAAGAGTTTGGAATGAAGAGGATTTTGCTGCGCGTCAGTATCCAGAGGTAGGTCTTTCATATAATTTTTAAACAGCTAAACTTACAATAGAAAGACAGTGGATATGCATTTTTATGAGTCTCCTTCTAGTATTTAAAAAGTTCCTTGTCCGATTTTACCGATAATCAACAGGTGTTTTCTATGCGCATCCATACTTTAGATCCATGCACCCAATTATGCTCCACCGGACCAGCGTTGCAATAATTAGTGCCTGTTCCAATCTGTAATGAAATTAAACATTATGCGCTGATTACGCATGATTGCATTCTAGCTTAATGTTCCCCAGCTGTTTCCTGGCGCGCTGAGCCTACCTGCAGTATTCCTCATGGTTTATTGTTTTGTCCATAGGTTGACTCGCAAGTGACAGCGATGAGTATGACGGGTGCTGAATGCATGTTACCAAGGCATGTATAGAGTATAGACTCCCAGGCGCACAAAGGAAAAATAATGAAAAATCAGTTAAGTTTATGTAAAACCAGGTAGTCTATTTGTTTTGGGTTCAGGTGAGATTCATAAATCGGTTATTTTATTTTATCTTTGTGTCTCTTTTTTGAAATTTGACCAGCAGATTGCATTAATAGGTTATTGTGTGCCTCTGGCTTTTGGAAATGGTCTGATTGTCTACACCCTTTTACTATTTAAAATGCATCATCAACATGAATCCACTTATGTTTAAAAATGTATGAACATAAGCACATTCTCCCAGACCTGAGGATGGAAAAACATCCAGAGATGAACGTTAATGTTCAGATTTTTATACTCAGACCTCACCTAAGGTATGAGAAATTAAGGACATTGATTACACACAAAACAGCATAGAATGGATGTCAAACATTTTTATTTGTCTTTGAGTTTATCAAAAAATAATGCTTTGATAGTTTCCATTACAATTATTGTTTCAAAGTTTTCTGAATCTATCATTTTAATGTATTTTTTTTTTTTTTTTTCATTTTATAACCTGAGAACTGTGATTATAAAGATTCAAAATGTGGTAGTCATGCTAATGCTCCTAAATTCATGTTGGTGTAATTTCTATGTATACATATGGCTTATCTTTTGTAATAATTTGTATCATTAAATCTTTTTTTTTTCTTTTTATTACATTTTCCTTTTTGTTTTATTTTTTGTTTTGTTTTTTTGCTCTGTCTTCAGCACTTTGTGATTTTCATCATAGATAGAAGATAACCAGATAATGTTAACTTACTACATCTTTGCAGCAGCCACATTGACTAGTGGGCTCATCTCTCCAAATATTTTTCGGTGCATACTGAAACCCTATATGCCAGATACACCAGGAATGTATACCAAACCCACGGCCAAAGAAATATTGTTGTCTTTACAATTAATCATTGTTTATTTAATCAACAACTTGAACAGGAGTTGGTGCCCAAATTCAGATCTTGCCGTGAGCCCCCAAAAGGTTTTGGACTGGCTCTGTTTAAATTTAAAGATGTTGAAACAAAACATTCACTGCTTGATCAATTTATCTTTTATCCAACATGAAAAAAAAGATTTCTCCATTAATATGACATGTTGAATAAAGGATGATAACTTAGCGAGGCACCACTGAAAACCTCAACTCTGAAATGCTTATTTATGGGAGGTTCTCAACACTAAACGCCTAAACCCCAAATATTTGAATTTTTGTTTTCTTTTTTACAAGAAAAGCATGTATACGTATACCACCTGATCAAAAAAAAAAAACAGGGAGACACATCAATCGCTTTGCTAATGTAGGCCCTATCAGCACTGCTTCTAATTTTCCTCAATATTTCAACAGATTTAATATGCCAATTTGTATGCTATTTTCTATAATATTTCTATTTTGAATCTAACAAATACACAAGAAACACTGATGTGAGATGAAGGTCAAAATATTAAGAAATTAAAATCTATATACAAATAACGTCATCAGCACCCATGGCAACTGGCTTATTTTAGTCCATTCTCATAAAAAAGCTGTACCCCCAACTGTTGCGGATAAGTGTTTCTCAGCACCACAGTGATATGCTTTAAAATCAGATGTCTTGGCACACTTTATGTATTTATCATTCAGATGTGTTGTTGCATATACTTCTGATAACCTTATGACACAAGTTCACATGACTCTGCAGACATATTAGCTTTGTCTCCTTCAGGAAAATGGCACCATTTTTCTGCTGCTGGGTTTGTGATGGGATTCACTGCACTCTCCTTGTGTAAGTGTTGAAGAAAGCCAGCTGGACAGTGAACGAGAGAAGGATGACCACAGATTTAAATCTCTACAGAGCTACGGAGTTCACTGTAGAAACAATCCAAGGCAATACACACCAATATGATGAACTATTTTTTTCTGTCTATCTGTGATGTAGGTCAAGACTCCTCTTTAAATCAACATAAAGAGAATTAAAATTCATTTCTATTGGCATTTTATTTAGCAATATATACTAAAAGACTTCACAATACATCAAAGTATATAAGAAAATATATATTTTGGGGTGATTTTATGTAGTTGTTTACTCAGCCTGTTGACAATTTTTTTTTTTACAGTATCTTGCAAATGTATTGACACCACCTATACATTTAAAAAAATATTTTGTCACTTTAAAAATACAAACACACTTTGAACATCAAACACAAAGAACCTCATAACTGTGACATTTAAGAAAAAAGGGTACAGTGTTTTTCACCATGTGAGAGTTGCATCCCTAATCAACCTTGCTGAGTCAATAATTTTGCTGCAATTATAGCTGTAAGTTCCTTGTGATATGTCTCAATCAGCCTGAATTAAACACAGTTCTTTATCAAAATAGCTCAGACTGACTTAGATTGCAAGAGTGTAAATGACATTTGTTCTAAGTCTTACCACAGACTTAGGTGTGGACTTTTACTCAGCCATTCTAATACATGAATACAATTAGATCTGAAATAAGCCCTGTCTGAATGTTTACATTTGCAGATCTTCTAGAAAACAACCTCCAGCAAATTCTTAGTAACCTCTAACATGTACTCTTCCAGATCTGCGCTGTATTATATACTATCCATATTCCATCAACTCTGACCAGCTTTCTTCTCTTTGTTGTAAAAAAGTATTGTAACATTAGCATTATTTTTAGGAGACTTGTATTCAGACTGAACAGGGAAACTGTGGTGTTATGAAACCAGAGCATTTCTTTCAAATGCTGGCTGTGTTTCCTGGTAAACTGGAAACAGGACTTTGAAATTTCTTGTGTCTTCTTTCTTGCCATTCTTTTTCAAAGAATTGAGTTATCCATTGCATGGCTGACGCCGGGCTCACACTGTGAAACTCAGCTGGGGAGTGGGCACCACAAGGATACCAGATCATTAAAATCAATATGTGCACTCACAGCCACAGTGCCGGTGCAGTGACCTAGGTAGTTTATAAGTCATTCCACAACAATGAAGTTTAGCCTAAACCTGCAGCGGACTCTGGATCAAGCTCCAAAAGTTACCTGACACACACACAAAAAAAAAAAAAAAATTATGAAAAAACAATGGCAAATTTCAAAATAAAATCAACTCACAAATCTGCACCAAACTGACTAGCGAAACAGAAAGGGCATAACAGAAACATGGTGAAACAGGATATACAGGGATTTTATGAGCACCGATTGAGAGTTTTGCTCAAGAACTGCTGGGAAGAGCGTAAAAACCTGTGAACTAAGCGTACTTTCTGTGCCTGGAGCCACTACTTGGCCAGCCTGGCCATAGCCTCAGGGTGAGTGATTTTTAGCAGCACACCTGCTCTGCAGCTGCACTTCAGCAGTGACATATTCCATGTGTAAGAGTCATGACATTCCATGTGTAAGAGTCATGACATTGGATTCTCCCACCTGAGCTGTGATTCTGTGTAATGCCTCCATAGTAACCATGGGTCCTTCGGCTATTTCTCTAATTCATGCTGTCCTTTCCAGGCCTGTTACTTGTATTTTCATAAATTTGTACTTCTTCACTTTCTTTCTGACTTATACACCATTAGGCTTGGTTACATCAGCTTGTTTCTCAAAATTCACGAGTTGTCAGAAGGTTCATCTGTCCTGTTTTATGTGTTACAGATGCCTGGATTTTCAACAAGATGGGCCAACCGACATAAGGAATACTGATCAATACTCAAGATGGGCTGCTGTTCTACAAGTCAGAGTGCTGTCAGGGACAGGATCAATAAAATACATCACTGTTCTGGTCAAACAACTAAAAGTTGTCCTGAATGTGACTGGATAAAGAGGAATTCTTGTCACTTAACATGATGGAATCTAGTGTATCGCTTTTTACGGATTCCCTAGAACTGATCCCTAACAACTATGGCAACCACAGCAACAAGAGCTGGAGCAATGACCCACATGGTGGCAACCTGAGGCATAACCAAACCCAGAGCCTCCATTTCCACTTGCATAGTGCACTCCTTGGAGTATCTCTGGGCCTTCTCTCGCTCCTCACCATCATAATGAACCTACTTGTCCTCTATGCAGTGAAGAGAGAAAAGACTCTCCACACTGTGGGGAACCTGTACATTGTTAGCCTATCGGTGGCTGATCTTATCGTGGGGACGACAGTAATGCCTCTGAACTTAATGTATCTGCTTGAAGATGAGTGGAGGCTGGGACGTGCAGTGTGCCAGTTTTGGCTAATCATGGACTATGTGGCCAGTACAGCTTCAATCTTTAGCTTGTTTATCCTGTGTTTGGATCGGTACCCGCTCAGTGAGGCAGCCTTTGAAATACCTCAAGTATCGAACACGCGGAAAAGCCAGCTTGATGATATCTGGAGCCTGGTTACTCTCAATGATGTGGATTATTCCCATTTTAGGATGGAGGTCTTTCACACATGTGGACCTTAAACCTGAGGAGGAGAACAAATGTGACACAGACTTTCGCTTCGTAACATGGTTTAAAGTTATAACAGCGGTTTTCAACTTTTATGTCCCCTCAATTTTGATGCTGTGGTTTTATACACATATTTATCTGGCTGTGAGGCAGCATCTAAGAGACAGAGAGAGAATTATTCATCCAGCAGATTCATTTGGGGAAAATGAGAATGGAGGCAATGCGCCAAGCCCTAAAAGATATGACTCCAAATCACCCCAGAGCGAGACAGAGGCCTCCCTGAAACAATCCAAAAAAGACAGACATCTGGACCGAAACACTCTTGACCAGAGATATTCCCTTGAAGATGGTGAGAGAACTAAAGCTGCTTCATTTAGAACTAACAGAAAAATAGGTGTGAATTGCCAACAGACGTCACTGCTTTCCATGACAACAAAACACCTCAGAATAGCACGCAAGGCTAAAACTGGTTCACTGCCTCCAGAAGAGAAGCAGCCAGACTCAGAGATTCCCCTGAACCGGCCGTCTGTGCCACGGGATACGACATGTTCAGTTGGAAATAATGATATCAAGCATCAAGCCTCTCTCAATGAATGCCACGTCACTGTGACAAACTCTCTGAGCGGTGTCTGCGGTATCAGTCCAGTGTCAGATGTGCAAAGGTACACAATTGTTCTCTGCAACAGCTTTGACCCGAGCCAGGCTCTTCCATGGCCTGAGGAAGGGGTTGAGGATGCCAGGATAGACCCAGAGGATGGAGTGACTCTGAAACAGGCATGGCATAGGTTTATAGACCAGTCACGACATCGGATTCAAAGTCTGAGAATCCATAAAGAGCACAAAGCTGCCAAGCAGTTAGGATTCATAATTGCTGCCTTCTTATTATGTTGGATCCCTTACTTTATTGTGTTCATGGTCATGGCTTTTTGTCCAGAGTGCGTCCACGACGACCTTCATATGTTTACCATCTGGCTTGGTTACATCAACTCTACTCTAAATCCTTTCATATACCCACTCTGCAATGGTAACTTTAAACGTGTCTTCAAAAATATTCTTAAGATTAATTGGTGAATGATATGCCAAGAGAAAAGTATAGAATCAAACAAGTTCAGAGCTGTTTAATCATTAATTATAGAGATCATACAAGAAATTACCAATGATCTTGGATTTTGAAAAATGTTGATAAAGTTACTGCATATTTGAGGTGGCATGTTTTTTTCTCCCATATGTTTTACATTTTTTTTTTTTTACTAAACAAATAAATAATTATTTTATGCGTTTATCAGACTGAAACTGATACATTGTGTCTAGACATAAAGGTTTTCATTCTTAAGGCAAGTATCTAAGTATTGCACATTTTAATTCAAGTCTTGAACATGAACAGAACATGATGAATAAAACACAAAAGTACATTGCAGGGGCATAATGGGGAAAGTGGGTCTGCAAAGTAAAACTAATGATCTTTCATTTAACAGTTTAGATACAACAGTTAACAGCAAGAACATATTTTTTTGTCTTAATTTAAAAAACAGCAGCACCTTTACAGACTTGTTTTTTTTTTTTTTTTTTATAAAAGAAGTCAAACTTTAGAACTAGAGTGGTGTTCTCTACTTTCTTAGTGTTTGTAAAGATCCCCTCAGTAGCAATCAGTATCAATTGTGGTGAGAGGAATGGCGTTCACTTCCTGTTTTAATTGCTGATCTACATTCGGTGGTGCTGCTCAGGCTATCTCCGCCTGAGCCAAGTGTTCTTTTCTGTGAAATCCAATTTATTATAACTGCCCAGAAGCAATTTTAAACACTGCTGCACTTTTCTACTGAGAACTTGTGGCGTTAACAAGGTTTTTACTTCTAGTAGTAAGGGGCAGCTATCCTAGGCTAATGCCAGCTTAGCACTGCTATGGCTTCTCTCTCTCTCCCCTGACTCTTTTCTAATCTTTCTTCTTCCTCTCCTCTCTCCTGCTCTCTATGTCAGATGTTCAGTTATTCCTCTACCTCTTTTAGTGAAAACTGTATATGTAATAAGTGTTGTATTTTTGTAGCTTTGGAGGCGAGGGTGCCAGACTTGGAGTTCTGGCTTAGAGCTGCAGAACATCCTTGATATAGAGTAGGCCCCATTGTTAACAGCCCGGAAATACCAAGACCAGGGACATGTCCACATAGTGGTCCTCCAACAGTTTCTAAGCAGCGAGATGACTTGGTGAAGGTACACAGAGAAAGTAGTTGTAGATCTCTGCCAGATGGTCACCACCAACCTGTCCATGTTTCTAACCAATTTTCCGCGCTAAGTGACGCACCCACTGGGAAGCCCAATCTGGTAACTGGCAGTTTCATGGTCAGAAACGTGGCAGTAGATACAGCAGGGACCATAATGTGCCGGGGGCCAGAACAGGCACACTTTGGATGGTGCAGCTATTCTTTCTAGGAATCTGGCCAAATTTGTCCTCGAATACCCTGACAGCCAAGGGTGCAGACCAGGAAGCAACACTGAAGTTTAACAAACCTCTCTGCAGCTTCTCTACTGTTACCATCTCATTACATTATCCAGACATTGGTTGTTTCTCAATTTACAAGAACGCAATGTCGGACTCTTGTTCTTGCAAAGTATGTTCTTGACAAGAACACAGGAATGTATGGACTCAGGAAGAACGGACAGAGGCTTAGTTGTGGCATCACCACGTGCTCAGCTTGTCTGAAACTGCATTTCACCTCCTGTTATTAATAGTCTCTAAGTATAAATTCCTACTTTTTTCATTTAGTGGGGGAATAATAATGAACACAGTCAGATAAACAAAACTCAAATGAACCTTTGGCCAAATAAAACAACAATCTCACCATCAGAGCCAGTGACTGAGGCCGCAGCAAGAGGAATATGTCAGCTTAAATGAGGCCACTCCCTCTAGATATTTACATTTTCATATACCCAGAACTTCTGAAGAGAAGGAGGAGTAGTAACAATCTCTCAGTCTGACTTACTGATTACTTTGAAGTCAGTAAATAAGTACAATTATTTTAAACATTTAACACTTAGTTTCCTTCGTCCAAATTACAGAGCAACAAAATCTAATCTTTAGCTTCTCTTCATTGGTTTCCTGTCAGACCTAGAATAGAATGAATAATACTCCTTCTCACAAATAAAGCCTTTAATGAACAAGTTCCGTTTTATATCAAAGATCTTATTGTACCATATGTTCTTAACAGAGCACTTCACTATCAATCTACAGGTTTACTACTGATTCCTAGAATTAAGTAGTTGTACTAATTAAGTACAATGGGAGACAGATCATTTAGTTCTCTTAGATCCTTTAGGCAGACACCCTGTCTACTTTTATGACTAGGCTTCAAACCTTTCCTTTAAAAAAAAAAAAAGCTTAGAATGGCTAAGCTTACACTGAGTTATCTCTCTGGATATGCTGCTATAGGCTTAGACAGCTGGAGGACATAGGGACCCCTTATTACAATTCAGCTTCATTCTATCTCTATTCTCCCATTCTGCAGTATTTTCCAGCCTCTAACTTAATACTCTCTGTTTTTCTCCTAATAGTAGCTTCATATGGTCTGTTCCTGTTTGGCTGTGACAAATCCCGGAGAGAAATATCAGCTGTGCTGTGGACATCAACTCCTTTGTTTCTAGATGTAGGAGCTTGACCTTTTTTTCAATGTAGCTCTTTTTTCTTACAATGACTACCTGTATGGAGTTGCTTAATACCTTTTGTATCTTTGCATCTTTCTGTATGTCTGCTTGTGTCTCCTTGAACCTCAGTCAGCCTGGGCAGATGGCTGCTCACACTGAGCCTGGTTCTGCTGAAGGTTTCTTTCTGTTCAAAGGGATTTTTCCTCTCCAGTGTCGCTACATACATGCTTGGTTTGAGGGATTGCAGAGTCAATTTAATGAGTCACCATTGTTGTCGAGTTAATGAGGCGATGCAATCAGCTGGTTTTCTTTTGATAGAAAACTTTTAACCAGTCTGACTGTATGATCTGGTTGAATTGTCTCTGTAAAGTGCCTTGAGATGACGTGTTGTTAATTGATACTATTAACTGTATGCTGCTAAAACAAATAAAGGTAACACTTAAATAACACATCCTAGATCTGAATGAATAAAATCTTCTTTTTAAATATTCTATTTTATGGCTTACTGTTCTTTACAATGTTTAATGTGCTGACAATAAAGTCAAACAAAAATCATCAATGGAAATCAAATTTGTTAACCAATGTAGGCCTGGATTTTAAATCACACAAAATAAAAGCAGAAAAACACTACAGGCTGATCCAACCTTAATTGAATGTCTTTAAAACAGTTCAAAATTATGCTCAATATGGTGTGTGGCCACCATGTGCCCAACGTTCATAGCTTCAATGCCTTCATCTAAGAAGAACTGCTGACACACTCCAGTCACATTAGGTCTAGCATTTGCCTGCATTAGGAGACATCCAGGGCCTACCACAAACGCATACAGTCTCACAAGGGATCTTAAGACCTCATTTTGGAGCCTAATACTACACATGCTACCTCTGGTGAGCACATGGAGGGCCATGTGGCCCTCTAAAGAAATGCCACCCTACACCATTAATGACCTACTGCCACACCAGTCGTGCTGAAAGATGTTGTAGGCAGCAGATCGCCCTCCACAGTGTCTCCAGACTGGTCATGTCTGTCACATGTGGTCAGTGTGAGCCTGCTAAGAAGAGCACAGGGCACCAGTGGTGAATTTGCACACATTGGTGTTCCTCAACAAATGCCAAGCATCCTGCATTTGTTGGGCTGTAAGCACAACCCCCAATCTTTGGATGTGTTGAATCCTAAGGGTACAGTTTGATTAAAGTTAAATTGTGTTCCCTTTGTTTTTTGGAGCAGTGTAAATAAACTGAATTGTATTGAATTGAACTGAACTGGAGCTGTCTGTTTAACTTATTAAGCAACCAGTTAGGATTTCCTTAAGAAATCAATCAAAGATAAATGCATTGATGAGTTTTGTTAAATACTGCTGAGACATTAGATCTTTAATCCTGGAAATGCTCATCAGGCTGATTTTTTACTGCCTTTTTGTTCCTTTGAAGGATCAAGTGTGAGTTCATTGTTAAACTCTTAAGGGTATAGTTTGGATTTACTCAAAGGGAGTTGGTAATGGGTTACTATCACCAATAAAGAGTTTATCTTTCAGTAGACCAATTTAAAGCTTGTCTCAGTTGGGAGAAACAAAAAGAAGATTATATTAAACACTTCTTGGCTGTGTCTGAATGTCCGCCCTATATAGGCGTTACACAAATTTTTATGAGTGTCCGAATGTCTAGTGGATGTAAAAGTAGTGGCCTCAAAATTTCCCACAATAAACCTTGAAAAGTAGTATTCATAGATGGTCCTAGACTACCAGCTATATCCCAGAATACTTTGAAAGAGCTCTCCTCGCAAAGCATCATGGGAATGTTCTGGGTATGAGAGAGAACAAAGATTGCGCAAGCACCGTGAAGGGTGCCAGAGTCACCTGGTCAACGGGGAGCAAGCAGTAGTGGTCATGTCTCTGAACGGTCATTTAACAGAGTGCACTATAAAGTCCACTATATAGTTGCCTCTCTATATAGTGATTGAGGGGTTCAGGAGTTAGGGGCGGACGTTCGAACACAGCCCTGGACTTGCACTGAGTTACCCTGGACATCCATACTTAACACTTTCTGTTTTACCAACCTACCGGTATTTCAAATAGGCCACTCTCTAAAGAACCATTCAATTGAGAGGTGTTGCTGGTCTAGATGTTTATAAAACATTACTCACAAAAGCTTCAAATTAACCTTTGAGTTTGTAATTATTTCACAAATGCAGAGATTTGCTTTGCTCTTAACTCTGCTTTAGAGCTTTTTGTTAGCTGTCTGTGAAGCATTTAACAGCCTACACATTTACACCGGTAATGGCGGGATGAAAGACATTACTTTTCCTTGCATTTCTTGAATTGCGCTGCTTAAGGTGGCTACATTTTGGAGTAGCTCTGCTACCTTGCCCCTGATATTTTCTTTTGTAAGTTACTGTAACATTTAATTTCCCTTTGGGATTAATAAAGTATTATGGAATTGAATGTCATGTAGACAAATAGCTTTAGAGTAGATAGTGTCTAAGGGTCATTCAGAATCAGTGACCCCAAGATGCCAGTCTTTGCTACAGTAGATGTTTGCATATTTTTATCATTCTCACTGCAAGGGGTGGCAGGATAAACTTGGATCTTCATCCATCGTTGTTGTTAATATTAGAAAATTAATGCCATTAGCTAATTTCTTGAAATGCCTTATCTTATGTGAAATAATATACATTTTTTCTCACTTGAATAGAATATAGTTGTTGTTTTTATTTATTTTTTATTTAAGACTAGCCATCAGAAATAAGCCTTTATTTCATAATTATTTCTTAGGGTAATAGGACATTTGAGGTTTCTTAAGATAAATAAAAAATATCAAGAATGCTATTTTTTTTTTTATAACAGTTGGGGGGCTGGCTGCATTGTACTGGTAAAGTATACATTATGTAAAATGTGTGTTAATGTAAATCCCTTTATTGTCCCACAATGCAGAGAGTGAAAATGCAGGTCAAAATACTTTCAATTTGACCCATCTCCTTGGGAAGCAATGGGCTGCCAGTGGCATCCGGTGAGCCGTGTGGGGTTAAGGGTTTTTCTCAGAAACCCAGAGTGGCTGTGGGGATCAAACCGGGTATTTGAAACCTTCTCAGAGCACAAGTGTACTGTTCTAACCCACTAGGCCAACACACCCCATTATCTCTGGAGTATGTATGTTTATTCTATGGATACTCATGTTTTCCGTCTAAACATTTCCATCAAATCATAGAACTGTAATCATATACACATGTATTTTGAGAGCTTTGGTACATCTTCACCAGGGATACAAATAAGATTGTAGAGAGTGTTAAAAGACTGATATGAACTCTGTACAGCCTCCCTTATTTTTTCTTTCATTTTCAAAGTAAGACCTATAGTTCTGGGCGTATAGAATATGTCAATCACACCCGAGATGGAAGAGGGTCGCAACTCTGGTTTGATTTATAATGTCACTGATTTCATTCATTGTCCAGAGAAAGGTCTTGATGCTGACAGCAAACGGAATTGTATTTTTTACAAATGCTATGTTAAAATGTTTACATAGAAATTGTATTTATGTGTTTCATGTCTTACAGTTGTTCGATGTAACATGAAACAGCACAACGTCTAATTGTTTGATTATAAAGAGAGTCATCCATTGGTGGGTAATTCTGTGATTTTTCACATGATTCTCTCATCAATAAATAAAAATTTGAAACATAAGTTTCCCTTTCATTTTTTTTTTGTCTTTGAAATTAAACAGAGGTAATGTCAGCTCAGAAATATCATTGATCATAAAAAGAAGTTATAAACCAGTTTTTTTTTTTCTAAATTTGCAGCATAATATTCACGTCTGATGTTGAAAACAACCTAAGTAATCTACAAAGCAATAGTGATCAAAGCATCAGTCCACAAATAAAATTATGGATTCAACTATAATATTAACTCATAGCCAGTGGCACAGTTTATCTTTACCAACATATTGTGCAGAGTTTTAGATTACGGTAAGAAAAGCCTCTGACTGTCAACAGCAGTGTGTTTTCAGTCAGAGGCTGCTTAAGAGCGACTGAAAGACCAATGGCAACCGGAGATATTTCCAGTTTTGTAGAAACCTGAATCATATGAGCTACCATGATATTATACTTCCTTTTGGGTTTAAAAAATATTTCTGAATTTGAATTTAAAAACATCCCAATGACAATTTTCAAAGCTGCTTTTTCTAAACCTATGAGTTTTCTAATAATCCAGAAGGCATAATCCAGAAGTGGAAAGAACATAATTTGACCATAAATTAGCTAGGAACAGGTGCCTCTCAGTAGATTTAAACAGATAATGAAAGAAGATGCAGTGGGCTATATGATGATTAAAAAAAAAGTACAGCTATTGAATAATTTCTTTTATAATACGATCATAAAAAAAAAAAAAAATTAAACCAAATCTTTTCACTTTAAACCATGTTTTTCAATGAAGGGTAAAATAATCAGTACTGTACTTAGCTTGTGGGCTTTGGTGTGTGTTTACTACTATCATCTAGATTACAGTAAATTATATATATATATATATATATATATATATATATATATATATATATATATATATATATATATATATATATATATATATATATATATATATATATATATAAATTATATTATAGAACAAAATGTCACTTTGAAATTCTTAAAGATTAAATTTTTAGGAAAATCTGATGGCAAAATCCTTCTGACTAAAAAGAACTACATTTTAAGCAAACATATCTTTATGAAAAAAGCTTTTGTTTTTCTCTGCAGGGATCCTACATCAATTTCCTTTTATATTATGTTACGTTGAACTTTCCCCTAATCATTACCTGAAGTCTAACATATATATTTTTGCACAACCCTGAGGGAACAGCAGCTATGATGGTGTGATTTCCATAATGTGTTTTTATCTTGTAATTCTCACAGAGATGCTCCTGCAAGCAAGGTTTGAACAATTCTAGCATACAGAATACAATATCATGCATACATAAGATATTTATATTTTCTTATTGTCTCAGGTGAGAACTTGATTGCAGGCTTATCATAAAATCTTAAGAGCATTGGCCATACATTCTTAATGAATCTTTTAAATAATTAATCTTATTATGGAGCAATAATTACACAGCAGGCCCCTGTGTTAGACTTGTAAAAGGTGCATCATCTCCTAGAGCAAATATGAGGCAACCCCAAAGCACATGTTTGTCTGTGTCTTCTGTCATCATGAGGTATGTGCTATGTGGCAGGTTAGTAAAGACACACCCTTCATTTCCAATCAAATAGCAGGATTGCTTTCCAGTTAATGATAGATTTTAGTAGGTATTATAACTTTTAATGTCTTTTGCACTCAGTTTACACCATATCTACTCAAATTACTTTTTTACAACAGTTTTATTGAGTTAACTTGACTGGAGAAGAAAATATTTTTGAACTGGTAAAGAAAGTATTTTGCTTTTATATAGATCACATTTATTACAGGAATGTGGAAAATGTGAAATGGAAAATGACCTAACCTGTTTTTGACATTTATTAAGTACTACAGCTTCCTGTCATCGCTTCCTGACAGCAATGACAGCATGGTGCAAATGTTAGTCCCAATGGGCTTAAAAGGTCAACATTTTCATGACAAGTTATACTTCACACCTGCAACATTTTACATGAATTATACCTAATGAAAACATGACTTAAAAATGACAGGTTTGCATGAGTAAATGATTTTTTTCCATTTCCTAATGTAACTAAAATTCCAAGATGAATCAGTCAAGTGTGTAATTCAATACCCCATACATAAATGTTCTTCTCTTTCTAAATGTTCATTAAAGGGATAATGTCACTAATCATTTCTTTTCGTTTTTCCTTCTGATTCAATCAGATATTAATCCTTTTAGCTTCATTTTAAATTCCCTGTTAACAATACAAAATGACAGGAACTCTCCACTCCCTATTTAGACAAACGTCTTCATAACACAAAGGCAAAACCTGTCTTATGGAATGAGGAAGATTTTTTTTACACTGATTTTAGGATGTCAGTGTAATGAATTCTGTTTGGACACACACACAGCATGATGGGACAAATATGTCAATACCATTAATAAAAAAATAAAAATCTCTATTATATATTAAAGATTATATGAGCCCATCTCTGAAAGTCATGAGAATGTTTGACCATGAGCCAAATCAAAAACCAAAAACAGAAAAATAAAAAACCTTAAAAAAAAACTAACAAAAGTATATATTTAATTTTAGAATACTGTATACCGGAAAAAATATTTCAATGTCTTTTAAAAGCAAATTCTAAAACTATAATACCATTTCACCAACATCTTCATATATATAGATATAGATATATATCTATATCTATCTATCTATCTATCTATATATATATATATATATATATATATATATATATATATATATACAAATGTCAAACCTAAATGTGAGAAGTTTATTTAAAAAGCTCCTTAATGTGGTCACGTGATCTTTTATTTTTCCTAAAACCCTAGCCTGTGCGTTTTTCCTAAGCAGAATCATTTGGAGACGCTCCCTAACTTGTTGTCACACTCCCCATGTCTGAAAGGATTTCTTTACTATCTGGTGACCACACTGGTTCACTTGAGATTGATAGGTATATTTCGAGCTTGCATCAAGTCTAGATAGTATAACACTTTTATGGCTATTGTGTTTTTGTGATACTTCCCCATAGGATATTAATTTACGACACGCAGCAAAGTGAGTGGCTCCTAGCAACCAGTCATACAAATTCGTCTTATTTCGCAGACCGAGATGAAAAGGAACGGTGCGTACAGATTCCTATCGGTTTTCTCCTGCTTTATAGTTTGCGTGTTTCTGTTCTTGTTTTGGTTTTTCATCTTTTACTCCATGGTTCTTGCTCCGTAAAACATTGAGGAAGCAAAGAGCTATGCTAAAAGTTGACGTTTAGCCATTACCCACGATGCCGTGCTTTATTGACAAGTCCTCCCATCACATGACCACCTGCAACAGGAAGTAGCAGCTGAGGGTGAGTGCAGGAACACAGAAGCAGTTTGGTACTTAAAACCTGTCTTTTTGGGCTAAAGCAATTCTGAATCATTCGGCTTCTTATAATAGTTTGTTCTCAAAAAGTCGCTCTCAATATTTTACTCTGTTCGAGTCAACCGTTTAAGCTGCAGCTGCTAAAATCATGCTCTGCAAAACTATTCATAATTTTGTCAGAATTAAGTCAGAAACTTTATCATATTCTATTTAGATTTTATCCCATAAACCAACACAAAGTACTCCATTATTGTGAAGGGGAATATTCCATGTATTTTAAACTACGTTATTGCACAATAATCTGATAAGTGTGGTGGGTATGTGCTCACTGCCTCTGAGTCAATAATTTGTACATAAGAACCACCTTCTAAAATCAGTAAGATCTAGTTACTTTAGAGTGTGTATAGACTGTAGATATTAGCCCATTCTTTTATGTGAAAATATGCAGGTCAGTCAGATATGTTGCAGAGTGATTTGCTGGAGAATTAACCTCAGATCTCTGCATTTTTTTTTTTCAAAACTGCCCTGTATTTTAGCTCAGTCCATTTTCTATCATCTTCAAACATTCAACCTGTCTCTGCTAAAGAATTACTAATATTAATGACATGGAAACTCAAAACAAACAGCTGACCTACTAGGATTTTACATTCAGGTAACGGCTAAAAAATGTTTTTTACATCAGCAATCCAATTTGAGATCTGATCGACTTGGGTCGGATAAAACATAAATCGATTTTAAATCTTAAGAAGTATAATTAAGTCTTATTTTATTATAATTAAGTCTTAATTTATTGAAATTTGAATTGATACCAGCCTTAGAGAACAGGTGGGAAAGGGCAGGCTGACTAAAGGAGTATAAATGAAGCAGTGGCCCAAATAACCAACTTTCACAACCGAGGCATATATCTATGAAAACACCTGAGGCCTTAAAACAGATGAGCCTTAGCAGCAGAAGAAAACACTGGGTACCGCTCCTGTGAGCTAAGAACACGCAAATCCCAATAGCATCTCACCAAACCTTGGCAACAATGATAAGATGAGTGCTGTGCTTTAAATGATTTTCCAAAGTGGTCCAACTAAAGACTGATTCAACACCACAGCCCACCTTAGTATTTTGCTAACAATGTTTATCTCTTGTGGTATATCATCAGTATATCATCTTTTGTTTATATCCATGAGGTAAAGGCACCATATCCAAAAGCTCAACTAGTTTCTATAACATGAAAGGGATTTCACTGAGCTCCAAAAGCCTCCACATTCACCAGATCTGAATCCAGTCAAACCCCTTTTGAATAAGGTGGAGAGATTTGTAACATGGATGTGAAGCTACAAGACCAGATCTTTGTTTTTGACATATTGACAGGTGGAAATTTTAGGGATTTAAAAAGGAAGAAATCCTCTAAACCAGATTTCTTACAGTGTTCATATTGTTCCTTTTTAAAAAAAAAAATAGGAAATCTTACTTTTAGGCTGTCTGTGTCTCACACAGTGTTGGAGATTACATACAGGTTCTGGAATGGATTGTCTGTCAATAGTTTTTTTTTGGTTCAACTGTTAGAAAACAACCATGCTGCTTTGTGGCTCAAAGAACTTTTATGATTGACTTCCATCTGTTTGTTCTTCCTCTACTGCTGCATAATTCTGTAACTTTTTTTTCTCAGCTCAATAAACTTTTAATTTGGTTCACTCTGGTGATCTCCTCTGTTCTCCTTTCAAACAGTAAAACTAGTAACTTTTAGCAACATAAAGCCTTCCTTTAAAACTTGATTGCTGATTGGTCAGATCAAGTCAAGTCTGGCCTATAGGAAAAATCCATGTTGCCAAAACTAAAAGAAAAGATAAAGACATTGTGTCATAACCGTACATTGATTAATGTTAAAATTTCCGTTTTGAAAAAATTAAACTAATCTGAAAAGTTGCCATTTGGAACTTAATTTGACTGATGCCTAATGGAAATCCAAAGTAATGAACGTGATTTTCTCAGAATAATTGCTTGTATTTCAGTTTTTTTTCTTTTAACTCTCTTTAACTAGAAAATATTCTACAATGTAAAATAAAAACTGTATCAAGCCCAATAGAAAAGATCAAATGTTATTTGATGTTTCATTTTTACCACTCTCGGTTCTTGATAACCATTTTATGTTTTCTGCCTTTTTGTCCTTCATTTTATTTTTTGTTGAAGTTTTACCATAGAAGTTCTGATGGCATCTGACACCAGCGGAGCGTCCTCCTCCTCAGACCTCAAGCTGCAGTTTGCACCGTTCAGCAGTGCTTTGGAGGCAGGTTTTTGGCACCAGCTCACCCAGAAGAAGCTCAATGATTATAGACTGGATGAGAGCCCCAAGTGTATCAAAGGATACTATTACAATGGTAGGTGTAAATGTCTGATGGTGTGGTGTGGTGTGCCAAACTACAGCACTTCTTATTATAAGGAAAGGCTGTTTACTGAGATAAAATTTCCTCCCCAATTTAACCCAACAGGTGACCCTGTGGGCTTGCCCACTCGTTTGACTTTGGAGTTCAGTGCATTTGATGTGTAAGTATCATACAGTTTGTTTTTGAAAGATCTGGCATTTTATTTGGTCAGTGGGAAAGTATTTTATTGTTTTATTGTCTTATTAGAAATCCTAAAAAATTGAAAAGATGATATATCAAGAGGAAAGCCATTGTTTTCTTGACATGAACTGATTAGATAAATTAATCAAATAGAGAGATTTACACTCCTTTATCTTACAGGATATTTCCAGTACAATAGATGGTGAGATGCATATCTGGTTTAAATTTGATAGCTTGGGGAAAAAAATATCACTATATATAGTGATATTGCAACATTGTGACAATATCTTATTGTGACCCAAGTATTGTGACACGCATCATGTCGAAACACCCATGCCAATACTCACCACTATAATAAGTGGTTTGAAAAAACAAAAGCAGGCTTTTTCAATTTTTTTTTTCATTTCCGTTTGTTGTTTAGTCTAAGCTTAATTCAAAAGAGATTTACTTTGTGTAATTAATGGACAGGTTGTACATTTTTTCAGTCTGCTATATGGAGCATCTCTGTTTGGAGTAAAAGTGGATGGACAAGAAGGCATGGTAGTAGTAGAATTAGATAAAGAACAATTTAAAAATGTATTGATAGCAAATAGTACAAATAAAAAATTTAATTTGAAGTAATTACACTTTAAAAAAATGTAGGTTTTTTATTCCTAAGAAGATTGTATATTATTCTTGTTTTAGTTATCCTATTGCCCTAATAGACTGTAGTTAACTTTTCTGTGTTACATTGTTGAGAAGGTTGTTTAGGGGTGTGGTTCTATTTATTCTGGGGTTTTGAACATTTTCATTTTCAACCAAAGCAGAGCCAGATTAAAAAAGTTTATGAACTATTGCCCTAGGGCATTTTCTTTAATGGCTTTTCTAGATGCAGTGCTTAATATTTCTTACAGGTATTTCTGTAATCTGTTCGCCAAATGAAAAAAAGACAAATACTTCACTATTCAAACATAAATGTACTTTATGAAGATCTCGTTATACATAAATGCCATTTCAAAATGTGTGCATTCTGTAGCAGAACATACAAGGGTAAATAAAATGAACTAACTTCTTGATCTGTACAATATATCTATAGTAGCTAAAAGAATCTGTAAAGTTTGATTTCTAAACAGATTAAATGGTCCTTCTTTAAGTTTCTGTCCAAATGTTCTCCAACAGGCTAAACATGAGTTTCTCAATTATGAATAAAATTATTCTGAAATAGATCCCCTCTCCTAAATGTCTTTACCTTGAAAGAAAACATTTTTTTGCCTGCAGGAGGCTTTATTTTTATTGGTTTTGGAATAAAAAACATATTTTTTTATGTTTTTTTTTAATTTAAATAGATCATGTATATCATTATGCCTATTTAAGCTAAAAACACCATTCATATCAATGTACGCACAATGTGTGTGTTTTCATTCTGTTATTAAAGCAATTCTACTTTTATCTGAGTTCAAAGCAGTGGCAGGAGTATGGCTTATGTGGACTTAAAATTGTCAGTGTATATATAGTGTTCCAGGTAAATAAATGTTATATACCAACAGTCTTGACCTTGATGAAACATTGGCTTGTCTTGAAAATGAGATTCTCTTCCTGCTGCTCCCAGGAGCCAACATCAAAGCCCCACGTCTAGTTGACACAGTTGCTGCACTTTCCCTTTTAGTTTGCTTTGTTAGACGATTGTCTGTGGATTTGTAAACCATTATAGAGGAAAAGTTTTATTCTGTAAGGTCAGGAAGTTGGAGTCAGTTTAGTTTTTTCCACTTAAAATAAGTGAACCAAAGGCCATATGTTCCAGCGACAGCGCCCGGACATGCAGGTGCCTTTCCGCCGATTCCAAGTTGCTGTGTTTCACCTTCACTTCCTTATCAGCAACAGCTGAGCCGCTTACTTGTCATGCTGGGTGATTCAAGAGTCTCCATGTGTAGTGGGGCTCAACACACCTTCTGCACTAGGCAAGGCAAGTTTATTTATATAGCACATTTCTCTTTCTACCTGAGGGAAAACAAGAAAAATAAATTGCGTTGGCACAGAGGCAAAACACAAATAAAAGAAGAGAATAAAAGTGAAACTTTCAAATAAGAGGATCATGTATATATAAAAAAAAATAAGAAAATTTGAATGTAAGTTAGACTGCAAATTTAATCAATAATGTTTAGATTAGACAGTTAATGGCCTCTAAACAAATGCATTTTTAATCTTAATTTGTAGCAAAGGCTTTAGCCCTTTTACAGCTTTCTTGAAGTTTCTAACAGATTTGTGGATCCTAGTAACTATAGACTTCATCTCTATGTTTTGTTCTGCTTCTAGATTTACAGAGTCGATTAGTCATTGAGCGATGTATAGGCTAACAAAATTATTTCATTTTCTGATCGAGCCACTATAAGGCTTTTTTGGACCTGTGTTATTGGCTCTACTTCCTTTGTTTTATTGAGGACACATGCAGTGCCATTCTGGACCAACTGCAGCTGTCTAAACAACTTTTTAGGCAGACCGGTAAATACAACACTGCCATAATGAGTTCTACTGAAGATGAAACCATGAATTAGTTTTTCAAGATCCTGCTAAAATATTAGTCCTTCAACCCTGGAGATGTTATTTAGGCAATAGAGGGCCGGCTTTGTTACTGTAATTATGTGGCTCTGAAGTTAAGGTCTGAGTCCATCACTACACCCAGATTTCGAGCCTGATTGTTGGTTTCAATCCATATTAACGGAAACTTTGTGCTGACTCTTACCTTCTGAAGACACTGTCATCTTAAGGGCAGGGAAAGCCTGGACAATAAAATGAAGCACACTACTACATTATTCAGTTGAGCATCTACGGAGAAAACACCTTATTTTCTATTGTCAATCAACAGCTCAGCAGTTGCTCCACAACTTAAAGGCATAAAAGAGGATTCTGGGGTGGAAGATAGCTGTTTTTGTATTTTAGAATTGTGTGCATGCTTCAGTTCCGACTCCTTCGCAAAAGTTCTCTATGCTGGAAACACCTCACCAAAACTCTAAATTTTCGGGGATCAATGCATAAGAAAAATGAAAACATTAAAGATATGTTAGATAGTTCCCATTTTTGTTCATATTACATCCGTTTTGTCATTAGTGTGCGAGAGGGGAGGTAATTCTCGGCAAGCAGGTATTCTCGGCATACCACCGGTGCTTCGTTTTGTATATTTACAGCAGTACCCTTGAAAATAACACCTTTTAAACTTTTACCAATATAGACATGTTATACATTCTAAGAAAGCTTAGATCCTCCACAATTCAACCACCAAGTTCATTTTATGGACACCATTAGCACCAAAGCACAATTAATAGAGATATAGCAGCTTGTTAAATCAGAATTTTAAAAAGTAAAGCTTTGACTTCTAAACTTTGAGGCGATCCTGAGGCTGTATTATAAATCCAATCTTAGAATCAATTTGTCCGTAAGGGTCTATGGATTAAAATGAATCCATCATATTTGTAACAAAGTAAAATTCCATGATAAGAAAATCGCCACATAAAGTCTGTTTTTTTACCATCAGAAAAAATTGATCCTAATACTAACCGTCTTGCTAATTACCCTAGCTTCAGAAAGGCTTTGTTTTCCAGTTAGGTTTGTCAAGATTCTTGTCAGCCGTTGATCTTCCAATATACATAAGAGTAAACAAATAGCTCAAAAAAGCCGCAGTAGCGAACAAGTGTAGGAGTACTTCTCCGTGCTTCGGCAAACGCTAGCCAAACAGCGTATGAGTTACGCTTGGAGCCTACGTAAATAACATCATGGCGGCACATGTGCAAAACTTTTGATTGACAAACAAATAGCCAACCTAATTTCAAAAATAGACAAAGTGGATTGGCTCATGTTCTGTAGGCCCCACCATGGCCAGAGTTTATCAATTTAAATTTTCTTGGGGGGTGGGGGTGCAGGAATGACATCCATTAAGAATGCCATCAATTAAGTCATTTTAGATGAATCTGGACACTTAATTTCTAAGAAAAATCCTCTTTAATACCTCTAAGTAGTCACACAAAAGTTACATCATTTAGGAGCATATATCATAGATGAAAAGAATGCAAGAAATATCTTTGTTTAAATACAGTATGTTAATACCCTCACTTGATCTTTCCTATTATCTTTACTTATTTTTCTCAGATGGGTCATTTTCCTGGTTATCTTTCAAACATGAAAACCTGTTTTGAAGAGGAATTGCATTACTTTCAGCTTGGTTTAACACAAACCTCCCATTCCGAGGGAAAATGAGGGCATTTTCCTCTAATGTTGGCCATTCTGATGTACTTTATTGTCAAAATATTTTAGCGTGTTGTCTTTCTTGATGTTTTGGCTCTGGTGCTAAAACATGTCATTTTTTATCAGTGTTTTGTTTGCTGATAGAGTGGTTGAGCTTTCTGTCCCTTTGTCTGATAGCTGAGTCATCACTGTGCCCCATATTAACCTACACATTCCCTCGTCTGTCTCCAAGTGGGATCACAGGCATTTGTGTTATCAATATACCCAGTAATGACCTCCACATTCACTTCAACTCGATGGATTCTTATCTCCAGCAATTTTGTGTAAATGTTTCCCAATGTTTCAGAACATACATGCAAGACAGTTTTTATAAAGCAACAGTAAATGTTAGCCTATTAAAGCTGTATTTGTTTTCTGAATGACATTATTGTCATAATAAAGTTCTTACTTAGCATAGCAGGGCAGTAAAAAAACTAAATTGCCATGTTCCCCACTCCCCACCAAATCTGGGTTGTCACTTTAGGGAACATCACTCTACCCCATATAATTCACAACAGCACTTTGAGTGGTAAACTGGAGATGGAGATAGAAGAATATCGTGCCGGTGTGGAAGAAAAATAAGTGTACAAATCACACTTGAGGAGGCAGAAAGTAATCAGTTTCCTGAGACAAAACTCCTTAAACACATGCACACCCATGCTCACACACATATGGAAATACATTGTCACTCAGTCAGTCAATGAGTGGGGCTCACCTGTAATTCATTATCCCTCAAATATGGTGTAGAGAGGAAAAACAGATTCAAGCATGCACACGAGGTTTGACATGTTTACGTATAAGGTTACTGCAGTATGGTTTCTCAATCAGGGTTGTATTTGTATTTACCGTACTGTGCCTATTCTGTACAAATTAATCTTTTAATGTACAAATTGAAACATTGAAACTTTGCTTTTAAAATTTCAAAGCTGACATTATATGCTCTTGATTTTCCACTTTTCATAGAGATGGCTGTAGAAGTACAAGAATAAAGTGTTAATATGAAATATATATATATAAAAAAAAAAACATTTGTAAACAATTATTCTGATAACCACATCAACTACTAGATTTCAGCCTTTCCTTTACATCTTGTAGGATGACATAGTGCCCTAGAAAAATGTTCTAGTGTCACATTTGGTACAAACTTTCTATACAGCAAATGTTTCTTTCAGGGACCAAGCGGTGACGGCAATCAATTAAAAAAGCCAATAATTCAACAAATCAGGAAAAAGGTTCCCAAAGAAAATGAGGTCAGCCAAGACAAACTTAACTAAGGCTTACAAAAAAAACCCTGACCTATTCACAATGAACTCACTGGGGATTTTATACACAGAGGCTAGCCTATAACAAACCAGCAGGGGAGGGAAGAGGGAACTGCTAAGAAAAACAACCATAAACAACCCAAAATAGACAACTCAACACATTACTAATTATAACTCTTTCCAGTCTGTAGTGCTTAGAGGTCTTTGGTAGCTTCTCCATAGCCAAGCCCCCCATGCTTCCAGCAGCATGATAGATTCCTGGTGCTGCATCATAAAAAGTCAGCTCCCCCCACCAGTTCTTCAAATATCAGCAAAAGAATAAAGACAGTGAGTTATCTAAACAACATACAAGTTGTTTACCAAACTTGTGTAGACAAACGACTGGTTAAACCACTCACAAAATTTAAGCTATAATCAAAAAGACAGTTGTAAAAAGAGTGGCGGGGCAGTGGTTAAGGGAATAGAGCTTGGAATCCTGAGGTTCTGAATTCGAACCCCACTCCCACAGGCTTACTCTGGGTCCTTGAGCAAAAGACACTTAAACCCCCACTGCTCCCCGGGCGCCACGCAATGGCAGCCAACTGCTCCCAAGGGGAGGTTCATTCCGTTGCTGTGTACTTGTGAAAGTGTATTGAAAAAAGCTAGGAAAAAAAAGTCTATAATGAAATAAGCACTAACACTAATAGCTGGAGAAACATCTCAAAACAAACCTTTTTAAAGTATCACAGCATTAACCTTATAATAATAGTAGCTAGTCTCTCTCTGCATTATCTAGATACTTAACTTATCTCAAGATGCTGAATGCTTAAAAGATCAAGTGAAGAAAGCTTTAATGTCTGATGAATTTGGCTGGTAACAGTCTGGCTGCTTGGATGCACCACCAGTTGATAATCGGTTATATGGAACATTTTGCTGCAGAACACTAGAAATAACTCACTATATATCAACCCAACTTCACATGCACATGAAAACAGAAGCGCATTTAAAACAACATACATCAGTCAAAGGTGTGACCTGTCTTAACTTACTTAGACTAAGACCCACATGTATGGCTTATGACTTATATCGTTAACATGTCCGTTGTTTTTAACCAGTTCAATTTTTTTATTTTTTTTATTTAAAGAGTGTCCATTTCTTTTTGTTTTCAGTGATGGTCCGACTCCGGCTCGTTGTTGCCCAGCTCTTGGTACGCTGTATAACACCAACACACTTGATGCCTTTAGGGCCACGGATAAGAAGGCCCTGCTGGAAAAAGAGGCCAAAGAGGTAAAAGGGAATTTATTGGACACAAATTCATTAATGTGGATGTAAACTATCTGTGAAAATGCATATTAAAGGTGGTGTCCTGAAAATTAAATAATGAATAAAATAGGATTTTCTGTGCAGATATGGGATGCCATTCAGTCCGGGGCTGCCCTTAAGAACCCATCTATCCTCTGCAAATTCATTCTATTGACCTTTGCGGTGTGTATTTATAAATAACCATATAAATGTCTTATTTCCATATATTTGTGATTTTTTTTTCCCTCTTCAAGCATGGAACATCTTAATCAATTAATGACTCTTTGATATCTCCTTGCAGGACCTGAAGAAATACCATTTCTACTACTGGTTCTGTTTCCCAGCACTTTGTTTCCCTGAGGGTTTGAAAATGATCCAGCCACCTGTTACCCTAGAGCAAGTTTTCTCACAGAGACAGGTAGTCATTTGTTATTTACATGACAAAAAAATAAGAACTTAAAATTTTTGTTTTGAAGGCCAGAACATTGCACATTCTTTCTTTTACAAAGAAAATGTATACACATCTCTCTTACAGTAGTAATGCAGTACTTTATTAACATTCTGTTTTATATACCTTTATTGTATTTGGTACTCTGATTAAAAAACAATGCCACGTGAGTAGACTGCTTTCCTTGGAGATTAGGCTATTATTAATGTTCTAAGTCATAAATAAATTGTTTCTCATCATGGCACAATTGTTCCATGACTTTAATTGGATATAAAATGCTAAAAGAGCAGCAATCATGGTGAAATTAGGATTATTTTGTTAAGCCAGATTTTCAAATTCAGAACATTTTAAAAAGGAACTTAATCGTTCAGACTTTTAACTTGCACATTTCTGGCTATAGATCCAAACACACAATTTAGTTCACCCTTTTTCATTATATGTTACGGATGCACAATTATCTTGTATTAAGTAGGGTTTGATGAAAATGCAATATTACTGACAAACAGCTTACCATATATTTATGTGATAAATCTATATCCCGCCCCCTTTTCTTAAATGTGATTCTGAGACCCTTTATGATCTTAAAGCTTGAATATAAAATATCTGGCCTTCCAAACTCTCATCCACAATATTAATATCGCACACAATTATGTTGCAAGGACCATATATTTGCTTTATATGTGAATCCCTGTAGCAGGTATATTCTAAGAATTCTTTGCATTTAATATAATCTATTTAAGTTCACATAACATTATTATAATATATTTAGCAGAGAAAGAATTGGTTGTATTTCAGCTAGCCCCTGTAACTAAGCAGTCACAGCTTAATGGAGTTCTTCTGAAAAAGGGACCATTTCCTAATTCTTGCTGGTAGTTATTAGTGTTTTAGACACTATCAGTGTAAATATCTCAAGACATTTACACTGATAGTGTTTTACAATTTGCTTACATTAAAAGTAAGCAAAAGAAAATGAATTACAATCTTTGATTTATTGGCACTTTAAGGATCAATTGTATTTCTTCTCTGCATCCTCTTTGTAAACTATTTTAATTTCAAATGCAAAAATTCACCCAGGCCTGATATTTACCAGAAGTTATCATTATCGTCGCTTGTTAAAATTAGGATGCATCTGTTCATAATAATATAAAAGCATCCAAAGCGCTAAATATTAAATTGCAGTTATCAGAGATGATGGAGAAACAGTGACTGGTATTTATCCATTTTGCCTCTGTTTTTACTACTAAAGAAGTACAGTTTTGTTGTTTTTGAGCACTTCCTGGGATTAATAGTTTAACGATTTATCTGTCAGATCTCAGCCCTGCAGGAATCCTATGATGGCCTGTGTTTAAAAAGTGGCATCACTGCTGTTCCTTTCTTCCTGATGAAATACACTGAGGACACTGTTGAGATGACTCTGCTTGAGGACTGGAAGACATTTTTCACTGATACTAAGAAGGTATTTTCATAAAGAGATTATGCTTCGCTAACCCATTTATAAAGTGATTTTCAAAAAGTTTCAAATACAGCTTCAAAAGGTGTAAAAAAAATTCTGTCTAGTTTTATAGCTTTGAAGGAAATGTCTTACTACCCTCAAACCAAAACTTTAGTCTTCTTTCTTGATTATTTGATCTTTTTTTTTTTTTGACACACCCATGCAGATATACACACTCGTAAGCCCTCCTCTTTGGATTTTACAGGTCACCGTGGGCGTCTATGATCCTTGTACTTTGTCCCAACATCCGGGTTGGCCTCTGAGAAATCTCTTGGTCCTCTTGGCAAAGCAATGGTAAACAAAACACATGTTTGTGAGTTTGAGTGTCTGTTCATGCAAAGATGAGGAAATCATCTACTCGAGATGACTCGTGCTAAAACCGTCAAGATGCAGTGACTTTCCAGAAAAGTATTTCTGTTAAATAAATCCTAAATTTAATCTGGTGTCAGCTATAAAAACAGTAATTTATTCATATTAAACATGACTTTTGCATTTTACTTTTATTTATATTTGATTTTTTTTTAAACAAATCAACTTCCAGGTACTTTTCTGATTCAATGCAATAAAATACTGTGGCTCTAATTTCAAGCAAAATTGCAAAGATAAAAGGAAAAAAGAAATATTTTCGTTTAAGTATTAATGGTTTGTAAGAAAATCTTCAAAGGATAAAGATCATTACACTGCAGAGGAAAGTTGGTGTACATTGTTTATTTTATCAGACATTCAGTATAAGACTTCTGGGTAGAGCATGATCAAATATTTACACAGAGATCAGGGAGGAGATCATACAGCTGTCCAGCAGAGTAGTTGTAATTTTTTATGTATCCAATATCAAACAGGAACTTTGTTCTAATGAAATAACTAACATGGAGCAGGAAAGTCTGCCTTCATTTCATAAAATTTTAAACAAGGGTTCTTGTATAAACATATTCATATTGTAAAATATATTTCAAAGTACCGATCTTTAAAAAATAAATAAATGCTGCATCTACTGATCTAACCTGGAAAAAATGGTTGTGAAAATGAGCTATTTTCAAATGGTCTTTTTAGAAAATAGAGTGATTCAGTGTGGGTAGTTAAAATCTTGACCTGTCATGACTCACATGTGTTACCTGAAGCAGCTCCTAATGCCAGTCTGAAGTACTTTGTAGAGCTGCTAAAGATTAAAGGTGCTTTGAGGTGCTCTAAATTAATGAACAATGTGGATCAGTGGTTTATGACGACATTGGGTCTGTTATTAGTAACCAATTTAGTGTTTCTTTCAAGAATCTGTATAATAAAATAATATGCTGTTTATAAAAATGTATTAGTAAACAGAACTTATTTTTTTTGTGAGGTAGTGTCAGTCTAAAAAATTACAGTTTTAAGATAGAGCTCCTAATTTTCAAAGATTGTTTCAAATGTTCTATACTCTAAAAAGGACCATTTGAAATTTCTTACATATAATGACAAAAAAATGATTAATTAAAACAAACGTTTGCACCTTACCAGAAAGAAAATAATAATAGTTTTAATTTCAAAACAGAGAGACCAGATCACAAATAAATATGCAGGTGTTGCAACAAAATATTTCCCCTCTCTAAACTCAAAATTCAAATGACTCTAGTTATCATACAAAATCTCCCCCTAAACTAAGTAGCTTGTGCCAGCTTAGGTTGTACAATGCTGCATCTTTTTTAGTCTGTAGCAGGCAGCTACTACTGGAAGGTTTACCGGTTTGCTTTTTGTCTAGTGGTACTCAGGCCAGGGTTTGGTTAGTATAAAATATCTCAGTTTTGTTTTAAAAGTGCATTACCTTCCTACTTAGGGCTGGGTATTTTCGCCAAAGTCCTGAATCGATTCGATTTTGATTAATACAATTTTAAATCAATTCATTTCAATTCAATATGTTTTTACAATAGTGAAAGTGGTTTAACTGTTTCAAAATACTCATGTATTTTGTTTTTTCCTGTCACATTAAACACAAAGTGCAAACTTGCAAATCAGACAGTTTAAACTTGAGATGTGAACAAAACTGTTTCAGAAGTGCGAATTTTTTTGTGAAAAGTGAAAAAGTGAAGCCTCACTCAAGCAAGCAGAGGTGACACAGCGGGGACACAGCAGGCATTCATGAGCTGCATTATCTTGATTCAAAATCGATTAAATAAATTTTTTTTACCCGGCCCTATTCCTGCTACATTCCCATGCTGAAGACTGCTCGCAGATGTGAGACAATAGTGCAAATTACACCACTCTGTTGGTCTTGTATGCATAACATACTGTATGTTGTTTTTGGAATCAGTTGGGAAAAAACAAAAAAAAAACAATGTGTGCACAAATTTTCAAAAAATCTAACATATTAAAATTGAGTCTCACTTCATAGATTTTAAGCAGTATTTTAAAGGCTTTCCTCCCCCATTGCAAGATGTCTTTTAGAGGATGTTAGCAGTACTTTGTGATGCTGCCAAATTCTGTCTCCCAGGTGGCCGAGATGAATTTGTTGAACCAGACTGTCTGTGATGGACAGCTGGCTGACCTACAAAGGTCTCAGTGACGTTATAATATCTGAAAATTTCTATTTCTGCTCATGATGATTTGTCTAGCTTTTCCTCTGTCATTCATCCATGACATTGTGGAGACACGTGAGAAGCATTTATATCTGAACTCTTCTTATAAAACCGGACAATAATTGAAGACATCAGCATTTAGCTTGGAACTAAATGGATTGAAGCAAAACAGATTCATGATATTCAGCCTGTTTGACTAAATGATTGTGAGTTCTCCTTATTTATTTTCAAAACACGAGTAAAATCAAGACTTGAGTGTAAACAGGCATAGAAGCCTACCAATTTAATCACATTAAATTACTTAAAATTGGTAAAGGTTACAGCACATTAGCCACACACAGGAATGTTAAAAATGCATCTTGCATTTTAAGGTACATTCATACTCTAACATGTCTGCAAAAATGACCCATGTAGCCTTAATGTGTGAGATTTGGGGTTTGAGATAATTGTACTGGTGATATTTATGGACATGTGACCTTGGAACCAGGGATCAAACTAACAACCTTATATATAACAGTAGACTGCTGACTTGTTGGGCTACATTTTTGAAAAAGGTACTCTTTAGTTTACATTTATGTTTTTTTTTTATGCCATTAGGAACTGTTCAGGATGCTTAAAGGAAAAAAAAGCTTTTAGTAAATAAAACTGTAGAAATAATTGCAACTTCTAAAAAATTAATTTACAAATGGGTTGATAAATACAAAAACTAATTACATCAGTATAAAAAGGGTGTTTAATATGTTAAATCTAGCTACATGAAAAAATTTGATGTTTTTATCAAAACAATATGAATAAAAATGATTTAAAATATTAAGTTGTAAATGAAAAAATATAATTTTTATTACATTTAAAAGTGATATAAATGTACAGATTAGGGCTAAAACATTAATCGATTATTGAAATCGTAAGCTAATTTAGTAATCGATTAAATGTTAACTGTATTAAAGAGACTCCAAACATGCCTTTAGCTGACAGGGCAGTAATTATATCAAACATGTTAAATAATAAGTAAGCATTTTACATTTTGAAAAAAGAAAAAACTCGATTCCTTAAAAAGTATTCTTAAGGGGACCTTTGGATATCTGATTATTAATTAATTAATCAAAAAAATAAACAACAGATTAATCGATTTGCAAAATAATCATTAGTTGCAGCCCTAAAAATAATGCTTTAACATTTAGATTTCAGCTCACTAATTATAGCCGCAGCTATAATTAATTAGCTTAGTATTCCTTTGTATGAGATAGTAGTCATAGATAAAATAAAAAATATATGAATATATATTAAGCAACTCTACTTTGTATCTTGGTACTTTTGGATTTTATATTGATATATGCCAGGAGTCTATAGATAATTCAAAAGGATAACAAACATAACATGATCCTGAGTTAGACACTGTTGGTGAAACATCAGAAAGTTACATCAAATTTTCCCCTATCAATTTAAATGTTAAATTTAATACTCTGATGAGCCTTTTGCTATGTGTCATGAAATCTTGTGTTTGAAAATGGTTTTTTAACTCAATAAGGAAGGATATTCCTTTGAGCATAGTCATACTATTTTTAAAACCTGGATGGAGATTCCATGCATGTGTCAGTCTATACGTTCCCTCTATGTTAAACAAAAATAATCTGTGATTAGATGAGGATTTTGGAAGTAGCTGTGATCTCTCCCATTTGCTACTGTTGGTATTTTATTGTGCAATCAAAAAGCACTTGGAGCATGATATTAAGATCTTTTGATATGTTGTTTTTTCTTACTGAAATGGAAATTGGAATTCAGTTAACTTTTTGAAAATGTTTTGAGTAAGGAGTTTTTCACCTGTGCAAAGTGTGGTTTTCATTATTGGACTTTTTATGATGTCCCTTGTGTGTCAGGGGTTCTGAGGTGGAAGTGGTGGAACTGCTGTGTTTCAGAGACCAAACTCTGCAGGGAAACCGCTCCATAAAACACAGCGTCGTGTTCCAGGTCATGCTACCAGAGCTTCCCAACAACTCTGGTAACTCAACTCTATTTGTCTGCCAACATGTTTTTCCATTTTCAAAAAAATACACCTTTTTTTTTACTTATAGATCAGTCCATCAAAAGTATAGATGTGTCTGTTTGCTGCTGATGCAAACTAAGTTTTATTTCACATTCCTTAGAGGGATTGATCACTTCAGTCTAACCTCACAATGAGTCTGCGCTATCTTTTGTCTGCCAAATTAGGAATGAAAACACATTAAATGGTAGTAGCTGCATGGGAGTGGAGCGCTCTGTGATCTGGAAGAGGTTTTTGTTGAATTTCCACAAGGCGTCTTTGTTTCCATCACCCTTCTCTGTCAGCACATCTCAGCTTTTAATTAAGTCGCTGTGAATTTGTTCAAGCAATAATGATGAACTCAGCTCTTCTGTTTGCATCTATGTATTTAGTGTTTCAAAATGGAAAAACCAGTCCACCTTGTATTTATTTTTCTTTTCAAATAAACATAAGTAGAAGCGTTGCTACAATATAAGTAATGAAATGAAGAATTAAAAAACACTGCATTTATTATTTTTAGATATAGCTTATCAAAAGCAATTTTAAGTATCACGACTTCCATTCCTATTTGCTAATTTTACTCTTCAGCAATCAGCATCAGGTACGTATTTCATGACTATTGTAGTAAACAGTGAAGCAGCAATAAATTGTAATCTGTAGAGACCAATAAATTATTACATTTATTATCAGACAAGGCTATTAATCTTGGCCTTTCACAGAAGGAATCCATTTTAATTTTGAACTAATATTGATTTGATGTCATTCAATTCAAATTTATTTATGTAACGCCAATTCACAAAGCAAAGATATAAGGATATCTTATTGGTTTCTATGTGTGTTATGCCCGTCAGTGTTTTATTTTTCTTTATTAGGTTGAATTAAAAGGTAGGCTTAAAAATTAGATGCTTTCATTTTACTTTAATGTCTTACTAGAGAGCTGGAGAGTATACAAGATAATTCAAGTACTTTATATTTGTTCCTCAAGGATTAAATATATAAAAACAGTGTAAAATAAATTTTTGTAACTACACTAAATTGATATGCTTGTGCTTGATGTCATTTCAGTGTGTCTTAAAAGTGTTGGATGGGAGAAGAACCCAAAGGGGGCAATGGGACCACGAATGGTAAACCTGAGTGAATGCATGGACCCTAAAAGGTAAAACTTCTAATATTCACATCATTGACAAAGGAGAAAGATTTCCTTATGTGTATCTGTGCTTATATGTAATTTACTTATCATTTTAGTGCAAAAACATCTAAGTAACAGTTTTTATATTCTATTTTTTATTCTATTCTATTCTATTTTGTATTCTGTTCTGAAAAAAAAAAACACACAGATAAAACCCCTATGGTAAACTTAATTAATAATCCAGGTGATTTCTTCAAATCTAACTCAAGGTGTCATTTTTATTTATCTTAATTTTTTCCTGACAAGCTACTTTAGCACTATTATTACATGCTGCAGATTGTAAGACGTTGTCATACACGAGCTTTTAGCACCTTTCTGAGCAATCATTGCCCATTTATCATGGGATAAAGCTCCAGTTCCTCAATTGTTTAAGATTGTGTGCCATAGTTAATTCAATTTCAATTCAATTCAATTCAGTTTATTTATATAGCGCCAAATTCACAACACATGTCATCTCAAGGCACTTTACAGTTCAACCAGATCATACAGTCAAATTGATACAAAGTTTTCTATCTAAGGAAAACCAGTTGATTGCATTGACTCATTGACTCAAATACAATCCCCCACACTAAGCATGCTTGTAGCGACAGTGGAGAGGAAAAACTCCCTTTTAACAGGAAGAAACCTCCAGCAGAACCAGGCTCAGTGTGAGCGGCCATCTGCCGAGGCCGAATGGGGTTCAAGGAGACAGAAGCAGAGATACAAAAAGCAGCTGTAAAAGGCGGCCCCGTCCAGGAAACACACAGCCAGGCAGACGAGCTCCAAGGCAGCTCCCATGCCAGAGGACGAAGAGAGCACATCCACTCAGTCACGGTCAGAGAAACAGGACCACACTGGAAAACAGGCCGATCTCCAACATCTATTAACAAGGGTGTTGATAGAAGCAGCACAGCTGATGTTTTTTTCCAGGATGACATCACAGCCAAACAGGAACAGACGAGGCAAAGCTACTCTGAGGAAAAGCAGAGAGAGCAGAAGGTTAGAGATTGAACTAACAGATTCTGCAGAATAGGAGAACAGAGAGAGAATGAAGCAGAATGATGAAATGGGGGTCCCTATGTCCTCCAAAAGTCTAAGCCTATAGCAGCATAACTATAGAGATAGCTCAGGATAACCTGAGCCACCCTAACTATAAGCTTTATCAAAAATGAAAGTTTTAAGCCTAGCCTTAAAAGTAGACAGGGTGTCTGCCTCACGGACTAAAACTGGTAGTTGGTTCCACAGGAGAGGAGCCTGATAACTAAAAGATCTGCCTCCCATTCTACTTTTAGAAATTCTAGGAACCACTAGTAAACCTGCAGATTGAGAGCGAAGTGCTCTGTTAGGAACATAAGGAACAATCAGATCTCTGATATAAGATGGAGCTTGGCCATTTAAGGCTTTATATGTGAGAAGGAGGATTTTAAATTCTATTCTTGATTTAACAGGAAGCCAATGAAGAGAAGCCAGGATAGGAGAGATATGATCTCTCTTTTTCATTTTCATTAGAACTCTGGCTGCAGCATTTTGGATCAGCTGAAGGCTTTTAACTACAGTTTGTGGACTTCCTGATAGTAAAGAATTACAATAGTCCAGCCTTGAAGTAACAAATGCATGGACTAGTTTCTCAGCATCGACCCTGGACAGGATATTTCTAATTTTTGCAATGTTCCTCAGATGAAAGAAGGAAATTCTAGAAACCTCTTTGATATGGGATTTAAATGACAGGTCCTGATCAAAAATAACACCAAGATTTTTTACTTTATTATCTGAAATCAGTTTAATCCCATCCAAATGAAGTGACTGGCTAATCAGTTTCTTTTTCAGAGACTCTGGTCCAAAGACTATAACTTCTGTTTTGTCTGCATTCAGAAGCAGAAAATTAAGAGTCATCCAGGTTTTTATGTCTTCAAGACATGCCTGTAATCTATGTAATGGGTTAGCTTCATCTGGATTTATAGACAGATATAGCTGGGTATCATCAGCATAACAGTGGAAATTAATCCCATGCTGTCTAATAATTCTACCAATTGGGAGCATGTATAAAGTAAAGAGAATTGGTCCTAGCACTGATCCCTGTGGTACTCCACAGGTAACCTTTGAGCGTGTTGAAGATCTATCATTAACATGAACAAACTGAATTCGATCAGATAGATAAGATTTAAACCAGTCTAGTGCTGTTCCTTTAATTCCAACAAAATATTCAAGTCTTTCTAAAAGAATATTATGGTCAACTGTATCAAATGCAGCACTAAGATCCAACAGGACGAGCACAGATACAAGTCCATTATCTGAGGCCATGAGAATATCATTAGTGACTTTCACCAGAGCTGTTTCAGTGCTATGATGAGCTCTAAAGCCAGACTGAAACTCTTCAAAAAGTTCATTATGGTGGAAGTGATCGCAAACTTGTTTGGCAACTACTTTCTCAAGAATTTTGGATAAGAAAGGAAGATTGGATATAGGTCTATAATTGACCAAGTCATCTGGGTCAAGAGAAGGTTTCTTATAAAGCAAGGGTTTAAAATTTACAGAAAATTTTTAAAAGCTTTAGGTACATATCCCTGAAAACGGGGGGATAGATTAATCACATCTAAAAGGAGGGGGGAAATAAAAAGGGAAACCCCCCTAAAAAAACCGGGTTGGGGGAACGGATAAAAACATACAAGTTGAAGCTTAGATGAAGACAAAAATTTTGCTAATTCAAGATTTTCACGGATCAAACAGCCCAAAAACCCCGGTTTCAGATTCATACTACCTCGGGTTCAATCGGGGTTAGAGGAGTGCTTTGACTTATTTTTAAAAGATCAATTTTATTTATAAAGAATCCCAAAAAAATCATTGCCTGTTTAAAGCAGGGGGAAAAGGGGACGGTTCAACAAGCTAGGGGCTCGGGGTGGGGTTTGGCAACTTATTAAAAAGAAATCTGGGAAATTACCCCCTTTATTCTCCTCTTTTTAATAAGGGGGAAGTAGGGCTGCTCTTGCTTTACAAAGGGTCCTCTTAAACAGCATAAACCATTTTCCCCAGACTAGGAAGGACTCCGCAGGCCTGTGGAGCGATTTTTTCTCTCCATTTCCTAGCTTTTTTGCTTCAAAGTACCGGGCCCCTGCTTTAAAACCCAAAGAGCAAGCTTTCTATTTTTTAAAGGGTTTTTCCCTTTTTCAAAGGAGCTGCGTTGAAAAAGGGCAATACCAGAGAAAGTAGCAACCCCCTAAACCCAAAATCATCAACCTTAAAGGGGGAATAAGCTAAGCTTTTGCACTCGGGCAGCACTGCCATGACACAGACAGGGGAGAAAGGGAAGCAGATTTTTTAAAAAATTTAAACTCCCAACAATCTGTAAAAAAACCTACAAAATTTTAACCTTTTTTTTGGGGGGGGAGAACCTTTTTAAAAAAATCCTAAGGTTATTAGAAAGGGCCCGAAAAGGAAACGGGGTTGTGGGGAAAAATACTTTTTATTTCTTCACTTTCAAATGCCGTATTTCACACAAGATCCAAATATGAAGATGGGGAATGCGTGGGCCCTATTCCCCATTTTGAACAAAGCCAATAGGGGGGTCTAAGATAGCTTTAAAAAGGCACTCTTAAGCTTCCCCTTTAAAATGTTACAAGGATTTTAAAAATTTCCCCCACTATGATAAACCCTTCAGTTTTTTAATACCAAATCAGAAAGGAACTCTGAAAACTCATCAAAAAATTTTCAGAGTAAAGGACCTGTGGACGATACAAATTTTAAAAAAAAGAAGGGGTTTTTCCCTTCCCTTTAAAATTTTGGGATCGGGGAAATTTAAGGGTTAAATTTCAAAAGAGTTGTGGGAATTAATTTTTTTGGGAAAATTTCAGTAAGTCAGACTCGAAATTGTTGCTACTCCTCCTCCCGCCCAGAACTTCTGGGGAGTGAAAATTTAAATACTTAAGGAGTTCCCTCTTTTTATGCCCCCACATAATCCTTTTGCTGCAGCCCAGGTTTCTTTTGGGCAAAAACAAGTCAAGGGTGATTATAAAAAATTTCAAGTCTTTAAAACTAGTAGCCCTTTTAGAGGAAAGCGATCTTATTTTTAAAAAACCCCCCGCATTTAATTTTTTTAAAATTTTTTCCCCCAAATTTGGGAAAGTTATTTTGTTTTTAAAATTAGATTATCATTTTTTACTCCTTTGGGAATCTTTGCAAATTTTTAAAGTTTTTTGGTCGGGGGCAAGACACTTTTCTGGATGGAGAAAAGAGTGGGTAACAGTAGAGAAGCTGCAGAGATTTTTGGGGTTAAACTACAACTCTGCTTCCGGCCCGCACCCTGGGTGGTCGGGGTTTTTGGAGGACTAAAAAAAATTGGGGCCCCGTTTCCTAAAAAAAAGGCGCACCATCCAAAGGGATGGATCCCCGTCCTCCGAATCAGACCGGGTTTTCCCCAAAAAGGGAAATTGGGGCCAAATTTTATTAATTTTGCCCCCGTTTTTTTCGGGGCAACCACCTAGAAAACCCAAAGCATTAAAAGACGACATGCGGCAAAACATGCCCTCACGGGCCCAGATCAGGGGGGACCAAAAAAATTACGGAGTCCGCCCATTTTTTTGGAAAACTTACACACCGAACAAAAAAAAATTTTTAGTGCCCACTCCGTTTCGGGGGTAAACCGGGTGTCTTTTACCCCCCACGGAATAAAAATCTTACGTTTTTAACCCTTAACTTTAGCCATTGGTTTTCAGGTAGGTTTTGGGAGTCGCCCTTTCTGGCCCCCGGCAAACATTTGACAAATGGCCCCGGGTGTCTCTAATCCCAAATTTTTTCTGACTATGGAGCTCCCAATCACCAGAGTGGGCTTCCCCCAGTGGGTGGGGCACTGAGGGGGGGAAAAACCGGTTAGAAAACGTGAAGGGGTTGGGTGGGACCAGGGGGCAGAGACCCACGACTACGTTTTCCCTCGGTACATTTTACCCAATCCCCTTTGGGCCTGCTCAGGCATTTTTTGGAGGACAGCTACGTGGGGGCCTACTTTAAACAGCCGAATCCTGGATTCTAACTCTGACACCCCCGCCCCAAAGCTACAAAAATACTACACTTATTACACACCCCTTTTCCCAAAAAAGGGGAAAAATCAGGGGAAAAACTAACATCTGACACAGAGAGCAGGAGAGAGGAGAGGAAAAAGGGAAGAGTTGGAAAAGATCAAGGGAGGGAGAGAGAGAACCCCATAGCAATGCAAGCAAAGCGCTAGCCTAGGCTACAAAACCTTTTTGCTATCAAAATAAAACCGTGTGAAACTGCAAGTGTTTCAGTAAAAAAGTGCAGCAAAAAGGTGCTATGTTTTAAAGTAGTCAGTTAATTTACTTAGATACAGAGATATCACAGAGAAAATAATTTAAACTTCAGATGGAGATCCTCTGAACAGCTGCACACTCAGTTGCACACTCAGTTAATCCAAACAGGAAGTGAACAGGTCCAAACAGGAAGTGAACAGCCCAAACAGGAAGTGAACCATTTTTAAATCTTAAATAGCCTATGGGATTGTATTCAGTTCTCCGTCATGACATCTCTAAATTGTTATGGAACTCTCCTGAAACCCTGCCCTGATGCACCCCTAAAAATAGGCTTTTTGGGGTTAAATTTTCCTGTTGAAAGGCAGATGGTTTTTTTTTTCAGGGATATCAAAAAAATTTCCATTTATTAAAGGGATTCCACGTGGGATTGCATGCTTTCCCTTCTTGAATTGTAACTTCTGGGAAATTTTTTTGATCAAAGGGGGCCCAAAACAATTTAAATTTTTATTCATGGCTTTTTGAGAATAGAATAAACCCAAAAATTTAGCTTTAAATTTTCCCAAATTTTTAAAATTTTAACCAATTTTTTTGCCTTTGTACCCTTAGGAAAATTTAGTACCGCCTTAATATAATAGCTGAAAACCCCCTTGGGCTGTATAACTTTTTTTTCCAATTTTTTTCTTCATCAGAAACAATTTTTTCAGCCAAAAAGGACTTTTCCTTTTAAAGGCCCCCTTCCATTGATAAATTTAAAGTTAATTGTACATTAAATGTATAAACCTTGTCCCAGTTCTATTTTTAAAAAACATTAATTTCCTTTTTTAGTGTTGTCCCTCTGTTTTTTTAAAAAAATTTATATATTTTTTTAAACATTTAAAGTAATTCTCCCCAGTGGGCAAATCTTTTGGGATGCATTATACCCTTTTTTCAGCCACCTCTAGGGAAATTTTTGCCCCAATGGGACCTGAATCAAAAAAAAATGTTGCAAACATTTGCTCTTGGGAATTACTTTGTTTAAAGGATTTTTTAAAGACCCCTTGTGACTTTAGTAGAGGCTGCAGGTCAAATAAGTGTAGATTTTGGATAATTTTTTGATATTTTAACTGTTCCTCTGTGATTTCTTTATAGGAAACATTTGAATGATTTTTAATTCTGGAAATGAACATAATTTACAGATGGAGACTAAATAATTCTAGTTGCAGCTGAAAATGAAAGGTAGTTGTTTCCTTATTATTATTTTTTCCTGCAGACTTGCAGAGTCATCAGTGGACCTGAATCTTAAACTGATGAGGTGGAGGCTGGTTCCGTCTTTGGATTTGGACAAAGTTGTCAGCACAAAGTGTCTTCTTCTTGGTGCTGGTACACTGGGCTGCCTGTACCCAGGAACCCCCCAAAGGTAAAGGTTTTTCAGGGAAAGGGTTTAAACTTTTGGGGTTGTGTCATTTTCATCTTCAACTTTCTTTTTTCACTACTTTATTCTATTCATTGAGCAAACATAAAAAAATAAAAAAAATCCCCTGCTTCACATTGTATAATTGCAAATTTAGAAACAATTTATTAAGGTAGAGCTTTTTAATCCTATACCTATTTATTAGCTGAGACATCCTGTGTGTCTGAATATAGAAAACCTGGATGCAATGTTGATTATGTTTTTCAATAGACTCTCTATTAACCAACTGTGGTATAAAACAATTGCAAAGATGAACTAGACTAGTATAGCTGTTTTACTTACACTATATTGCCAAAAGTATTTGCCTCCCCGCCTTACTCACATTGAGCTTAAAATACATCCCCCTTCCCAATTTCCCTTTGGGTTCAATATGAAAGTCGGTCCACCCTTTGCGCTAGAACAGCTTCAACCCTTTTGGGAAGGCTGTCCACAAGGTTTAAGGGGTGTGTTTTTTGGGAAATTTTTTGACCATTCTTCCCGAACGCATTTTGTGAAAGGTTTTCAAAACTGATGTTTGGGCGAGAAGGCCTGGGGTCTCAACCCCCGCTCTAATTCATCCCAAAGGTGTTCTATCGGGTTTTAGGGCAGGACTCTTTTGCAGGCCAGTCAAATTCCCTCCAACCCAGGGCTCTGTCATCCCCTTCTTTATGGACCTTTTCTTTGGCACTGGTGCACAGTATGTTGGAAGAGGAAGGGGCCAGCTCCAAAAATGTTTTCCCCCAAAGTTTGGGGGCAAGGAAAAGTCCCCAAAAAGTCTTGGGATGCTGAAAACATTCAGAGTTTCCCTTTTACTGGAACTAAAAGGGGGCCCAAACCCAAACTCCTGAAAAACAACCCCACCATAACCCCCCTCCCCCAAACTTTACACTTGGCACAATGCAGTCAACAATACCCGTTCTCCTGGCAACCGCCAAACCCCCGGGCCCCCCCATCAGATTGCCCCGATGGAGAAGCGCGAATTCGTCACCCCCAGAGAACGCGTCTCCACTGCTCTAAGGGGCCCGTTGGGGGCGTTTCTTTTACACCACCGCATCCCCACGCTTTGCCCTTTCAACTTGGTAAAGGGTTTTTTTGGATGCAGCGCTCGACCATGGAAACCCATTCCAGAAGCCTCTGCCACTGTTTTCTTGGCTAATCTGAAGGCCACCTGAAGTTTTGGGGGTCCCGTAGTGGGTTGGGCTCTGCAGAAGGGTTGGGGACCCTTCGCACTATGCGGGGTCAGCATCCCCTGACCCCGCTCCGTCAGTTTTAAATGGGGCCCACCACTTCGTTGGGTGAGTTGCTGTCCCTTTTTCAAACACTTTTCCCTTTCTTATAATACAGCTAATTGACTGTGGGGAAAATTTTTGGAGCGAGGGAAATTTTTACGACTGGATTTGTTTTCACAGGTGGCATCCCCAAACCCCAGTTCCAAAGCTGGAATTCACTGACTCCTGAAGCGAACCCCTTCTTTTTACAAATGTTTGTAAAAAAAGTCTGCATCCCCAGTGCTTTAATTTATACACCGTGGCCATGAATTTATTGGGAACACCCCGAAATTCCAATAATTTGGATGGGTGAGCAAATACTTTTGGCAATATAGTGTATATGTGCACCCATCTCAGGTTTTTATAACGCTTTGATCTGCATGTCTCAATGTTAGCCAATTCCTTGTTAAGATTTTCTGTAAAAAAGATATGAAGATATATATTTCTAGCTTTCTTGCTGTAAGTAGTCATTAATTATTTGTAGTGTTCAGTTGTACTTTGTCCAACTTCCTGCCTCTCTTGTGGAGATGGGTAACAAAAGCAGGGGCGTAGGAATATGTTTACAATTGGGGGGGACACATGTCGGAAATCGGGGATTCCCTAAAAATTTTAACAGAAACATATTTTTAATTACCTACTTAAAAAAAACTATTTAATCTTTTCTTTATTTTCCCTTTTTAAATTGTTTTTTTCAAAAATAATGCATTTAAAAAAATTTAAAATAATGCATTTGTTCATAAGATGTGAGAAAATCACCAAAAAAAATGACTTGGGGTCTTTTATTAAGCAAAGGGAGATGTCTTTCAAGGCTTTAGCCCCTTTGGGATATTTAGTGTTTTCCCCATACGCACCCAGAAAATCAAAACAATTCGTAGGCCACACAATTTCAAAGTTTGATATGTTTTTTTTTTCAAAAATTGCAATAATGGTCCCAAAAAAGAAAATTTTTAAAGGGTTTACTGACAGAGGGAGCTGACGGTGTGTTGAAGAATTATGGACAGGGCGCTTTGAAGCATCTGGTTCAAAAACGCATTCTAAACCTTTGGTTGAAATCCATCCATCCTTCCATTTTCTGTACACCCTGTCCCTTAGTGGGGTCGGGAGGTGCTGGTGCGGGGTCCACCCTAGACAGGTGGCCAGTCTGTCCAGACCTTTGGTAGAAATGGCGCCTTTAATTCCAATTTGCAGTACAGAACAGAGAAAACTACAGAGTTGTCAATGTTGTGTTAATCTGTTTATAGTGTAAAAAGAGGAGCCAGCAGTTTATTTGAGGAAATAAAGATGCAGAAGTTAATTAGTTGGTTAATTAGTGGTTGTGCAGCAGTCCACTGCACGACCAATGCGGCCGCCGCTGCTAAGAATTAGAATTAATTCTCCCTGTGGCTTTAACTAACGATCAGGAGCGCGGCAGGTATAACATCTGTCCATTTCGGCGAAAAATTCGCAAAAAATAAAAAATCCTCGTAAAACGCACACCCAGACCGGGCTAATTTCAACACAAGTTCTGTTAGGTGACTTTTACTCACACTGACGTTTCAATTTTAAAAAAATCTGAGTAAGTCCTACTGCTGTTTCAGCCTTTTAGTTGGTGGTGGCATTGTACTGAAATGAGATATAAAAAAAAATATATAAAAAAAACATTTTGGCTAGCGTGGCAAACGTCTAGAGAAAGTTAGCAGTTAAATATTGGATGAGTGATCAGCCCAAGACTACGGAAGAGGATTAGGGCCACTGAAAAAAAAAAAAGTTAAGTGATTTTTACATTTTATTTCAGTTTAATACGGGAAAAAACTCAGAATTCTGACTTTTATTTTCAGAATTAAGACTTTTTTTTCTCAGAATTCTGACTTTAATCTCAGAATTCTGACTTTTTTTCTCAGAATTTTGGATCTTAATGTAGCTGGGCACCATGAAGGCAGAGATGTGGAGCACTCAGCTTCACTGACAAAGATGTGAGTTGTTTGAGAGAGCCAGTGACACATTGGTGGAAAATGACAGAATTAGGCAACTTTTTACGTGCCCGAGGGGTCCCCTCATTAATGGAGGAGCAGAAGGTCATTAAAACAAGAGAGCTAGTCTCTAAAAGAGACATGGCTATGGCTTGATGCTAACATAATGTTTACCTTTTATGAGCAGGACAGGAAGCAGAGAAGTGTAGCATTACCTCCAACTAGTTATACTCATAATTATGAAGTTATTCAACAAATTCCTCAAGTAAAAAAGTGCAACTTTTATTTTTTATTTATTTATTTTTTTTTACCAGATTTGTTGATTAATTTCAGAATTATGTATTCCTTCCAAATTTCCAAATCTGAAGAATTTTTTAAACCAATATCTACATTATTTAACATTTAGTTTGTTTTAGCAGTACTTCCTGTTATATTTCTTTATACGTATATTTTACATTTTCTTGCAGATTTGAAATTGTGTGCTTGTGTAAATACAAGTAGTCAATCTTTACTCTAAACATATATTCTGGTTATTTTTTAGTTAGACCTTCTTGTTTTTATATATCTGTATAGTACCCCCCCCCCCCCCCCCCCCCCCCCCAACCACCAAAAAAAAAAACTGTAAATTGATTAGAAATATTAATCATCTGTCAGATATCTGAGAAAAAAGTCAGAATTCTGAGATTAAAGTCAGAAATCTGAGAAAAAATTCAGAAGAAAAAAGTCAGAATTCTGAGAAAAGTCAGAATTCTGACTTTTCCCCCCATGTTAAACTAAAAAAAAAAATGTAAAAATCAGTTAACTTTTTTCAGTGGCCCTAATCCTCTTCCTACAAGTCTAAGATGCCTAAACCAAAAAGATTCAGTTTCTATTTATGAAAGTGAACTGACAACAAGACGTTATAAATAAGCAATATTCATAGCAGCATTCCCGACAGACCATTTTACCTCATTAACAAGTTTCTGACTTTCTGTATCGCTGTTTCCCTCCCGTCTGAGTGCTCAAACACTCAACAGTTCACAGAGGGGAGGGGGAGTACAGTGACGTAACGCTATGTTGCGCCTTCAAAATAAAAGCACGATAGTTAAAAAATTGTCAAAATCTAATATTTTGCGGTACAATTTTTGGGGGGGACATATCCACCTGGCTTTTATATTGGGGGGGACATGTCCCCCCCGTCCCCCCCGCTTCCTACGCCGCTGAACAAAAGTATTAGAAATTATCCGATGTGACTGCTGGTGCAATAAGACTCAGGGTTTTATTGTTTTAGTGCACAGCAGGGGCAGACAAGGCGCCAGCCATTTCAACACTGGACAGTACCACACTAAGGGTTAAATCAGGTTCAGCACTGGACAGTACCATGTTAAATCGGGTTCAGCACTGGACAGGGCCTGTCCAGTGCTGAACCTGATTTAACCTGGGGTGGTATTGTCCAGTGCTGAAATGGCTGGCGCCTTGTCTTCCCCTGCTGTGCAGTCCCCACAGGCCCTGTCCAGTGCTGAACCTGAGGAGCCTCGTATGGGCGCTGTTGAAGGAATTGGGTTCCTGTCTGAAGTGCTGGTTAATGGCAAAGGGTTAAATTCTGAATTATTGGAAAGAACTTGATGGACGGGTTTCACAGGATGAGTGATGTGCAGGCCCCCAGAAGCCCTCAGCCAAAACAATTAACTTGTCTGCCCCTGCTGTGCAGTCACCACAGGCCCTGTCCAGTGATGAACCTGATTTAACCTGGGGTGGTAATAATAAGATGATTAATAATTGATAGTCTAGATGGCCTCTCCCCCTTTTTACCTAACTTTTGCAATTATATAAAAAAAAAAAAAAAAAAAAATGGTTGCATTGTTGAGAATCTAATTGGCAAACATTGTGGTTGGAGCAGCAAGAATATAAAAAGATAACCTCCCAAGCTAAACTTTTAGGTATTCAAAGACTGCCAACATTCACAAACCCATCTTATTCCGTGAACAGAGAGAGTTTTTCTCTTATTACCTAGCCTTCCTGTTACCTGCCAAAAGTCTTGGCCTGTCTTGCTGTCTTACAGCCTTCGAGTAAAACGTAGACTTCTGTCAACGTGTGATACAAATTATTTTAAAAAGAATCTCTCTCTTACTTGCTCTATTAACAATTAGCTGATGGTGTCAGTAGTTAACTTGTATGCAAATAAAGAATTCGTGTAGCTTTAGCACTACTTGGTTTATTGCATTGAGTGATTAGAATGTAAAAGAAAAGTGTGTAGAATCTACAGTACCTGTGATTTAGAAATAAAAAAAAACATGTCCCACCTTCTCCGAAGTCCAAAAGGAAGTACAGCTATGAATAAGATCAACTGAATGAAACTTGTATTTTTGCTGTCTGTGTTCCAGGGCTGGGGAGTGAGACACATCACTTTTGTTGACAATGCAAACATCTCGTACTCCAATCCAGTTCGACAACCGCTTTATGAGTTTGAGGACTGCCTCGGAGGAGGAAAATCAAAAGCTATGGCAGCTGTTGACCGCCTCAACAAAATTTTCCCGGGTGTGGTGAGTTAAATAAGAACCAACAATATGTGTCTTTAAACCTACTATAGAATGTCACCCTTTGAAAAAAATTAACCACAGGGAATTTTTTATTTTTCAAAATTTTAGTAACTTTGTGGTTCTTTTTTAGCCTCTTAGTACAAGAACTGTGATGCATAGATCAAACTATTGAATAGTAAAATAATTCAAAGTTTTCTCTCTTTGAATGGTCATATCTTAAATGGCAAAAAAGAGGAGAAAATACAAAGTCATTTTATCAGCATATTATTGGAGCTGGTTTCATTACTTTACTAATTAATGGCTGGGTCCACTGAGAGAGATGTTTTGGTCAGATTAGCAACTGAAAAAGCAGCCAATTACTGGAAGCAGGGTTGTGATTTGATGTGATAGAGCTCACTCATTATTGAGCCTTTTGGAATTGCGAAGATGTATGCATATTCATCATTTTTAATTATCTGTGTACACCTGTGTGCATTCTGTAAGTGTTTGGGATAGAAAACTGTGTCCGTAATTAGGCAGGTAATGCCCCATTGTCAGTTATCATGTAATCTCTCTTTTTTTACTACAAAAAATGTTATTCTGCATTATTTTAACAAACCCTACAGACACATGGCTGCTTTAAAATTATGAATTTAAGCCACAGACCTCATATATAAGTGGGTCAGTTACCTTACACAGTATCAGTGTTGTATTTTTGAGTCTTGAAAAACTCTGCATTGTGAATGGAAAGTACGATCTGTTCCAATAAATTTGATGGCATCCTGTTGATGTTTTCTAAAAATTCAGGGATAATTTTCTAAGTAAAAGCATCTTGGACTTTTCATCCCTCCAATTTTCCACTGATTCATCATCTGTCTACAAATTGTCGGAAGCTGCGCTGATATATTCCATACACCTCGTTTGTATTGCAGTCACGACTCTGCAATTGTTTTTGCCGGTAATGAGATACAGTGGTCTGGTCTCTGTAAAATGCACACACAAGCAGGTGTCGCCCCCATCTTGTTTGTTTCCGAGCCCCTGTCTCAGTCTTTTTTCCATTTTTCTTTTTTTCTTTTCTTCTGAAAAGAAAATTGGAAGCCCAATGCTCTGATGCCCTTTAGCAGACACCCCAGCTGAATCCATACAGACTCCTTTTTTTATTAAGGGCCCCTGCTTTCCTTTTCTTTTTTTTCATTCTGTTGTTTTTCTACCTATCCTGGAGCATCAGGTGCTGAAAGCACAGAACTCCAGTAATTGAAGTGAGAGGATCTGGATCAAAAAGGTCTTTCTGTCGGTACAGGCAGCAGATTTCATAATTTGGCTGTGGACAAATAACTTCACCTGACATTTTGAGGGAAGCTGGATGAGTGGTCCCCAGTAAATTTTTAACATCGTGATTTGGTTGATTGAGAAAACCTTTTGTAGTGTTGGGTCATTAAAAAATCTTTTCTATAAGAATTTCCCACAGGCTGCTTTCGTCTTGGCTGCAAGCTGATGATATTTACTGTGGTAATTGGTATGTGATTACTATCCGTACGGTGTGAACTCACCACCCAAATGCTTAGCAACACTTACGTCAAAGTTAAATGTAAATATAAGACTTTAGTTAACAGCTCCCACACTTGAAATATGTTAAGAAAGCACTGGACAATCTCCCGATGCAGTAAAAGCAGCTCTTCTTATTAAAACCTCTCACTTCATCTTTGCCCTTTTCTGCATTTCACTTTAAATTACTCTTGACATTTTCGGTTGTTTCACTGTGGCATATCCAAACGGTAATCCAAGGTTTGGAGTAGACAAGTAGTAGCTTTGCTTCACTCTGTAGGATTTTGTTTGTAATCAACACTGTTGACTTGTACAAGGGAGCTCTACACTCAGTGCTCAAGATTTTCTTTCCTCAATATTTGTAGTTAAATCTTCTAAAGCAGAAAAAAGAGAAAAAAAATATTTGATGACTATTTGTTCCAACATTGTAATTCTATGAAAGAGTTAGAATTTTTTTAACCTTCGTATTTCTTTTTTAAAGGTCAGGTTGGTCTTTGGTTTACCATGTAAAAGCGCATGCCAAGCCACATATGTTTTCTTTTTTTTTGATAGATTTTTTTTTTTTCTTGTAGCATCTTCAAATAATCTTTACTCTTAATCAGATGCGGCTCAACAACCGAAAGATAATCCTCTGATTTATTTGTTTGTTTTTCGAATTCACTTAAGACGATTTACGTCTCATCATCTGAAGATCACACCGAAGTTGAAATCTTGACAGGTGCTTATTACTTTAATATAAAGTACACAAAGGAAAATTTATTTAGTTTGCTGATTGTTATTCAACTTGGAGTCTTGTAGTATAGTTTATCATTGAAGATTATTGAAATTTGGACATGAAGAAGGGTTTTGAAGTTTATAAAAAAAAAAAAAATAGATACATTACCTTACATCACATAGCCCTGGAACATAAATTCCCAGAGATACATTGGCTAAACAGGACACAAATAAATAAATTAATTAATTAAATAAGAGAGGGGAAAGAAATCTTGGAAATCTTGCTACTGATTTCAGCTTCAGAAGGAGGATTTCATATTCTAATTATTCAGTGGATTATAAATTCACAGTGAAGTGGTTATTAATATGCTTTTCTGTTACAATTTAAAAATATAGATATGATAAATTGAATATATGTCGACTTTTTTTTATAAACCATATATTAAAAATGAAAAGTAGTCTGGTTTTCCTGATAGTTGTGGGGGGAAAAAAATCACGTCAAGATTTTTTTCCCCACATTCTCACTAAATTTGCTTGACCTTTTGTACAAATCTACTTTGCCTTTGTTTCATCCAAACTTTTAAAAAAAGCCAAATATTCACAAGACGGACCAAAAACAGAATCAGGCAAAATTACACATAAAGGGTTCATTGTTAGCTGAAAGTACAGCACTAGGTGGTACCATTAAAGCTTTATAAAATCCTCAAATTTCCACTTTAAAAAGAAAATTGATGGTTGATTAAAGAACATTCTCCTTTGTTATGGTTGCCTTTTCTTAGAGTTCTTGCCTCCATGTACAGCTGTTGAAGTCAAATTATATACAGGTGCTGGTCATAAAATTAGAATATCATGAAAAAGTAGATTGATTTCAGTAATTCCATTTAAAAAGTGAAACTTGTATATTATATTCATACATTACATACAAACTCATATATTTCAGATGTTTATTTTGTTTAATTTTGATGATTACAAATGACAACAAATGAAAATCTCAAATTCATCATATCAGAAAATTAGAATATTACTGAAGACCAATAAAAACAAAGGATTTATAGAAATGTTGGCCAACTGAAAAGTATGAACATGAAAAGTATGAGCATGTACAGCACTCAGTATTTAGTTGGGCCTCCTTTGGCCTGTATTACTGCAGCAATGCGGCGTGGCATGGAGTCGATCAGTCTGTGGCACTGCTCAGGTGTTATGATAGCCCAGGTTGCTCTAATAGTGGCTTTTAGCTCTTCTGAATTGTTGGGTCTGGTGTATTGCATCTTCTTCTTCACAATACCCCATAGATTTTCTATGGGGTTAAGGTCAGGAGAGTTTGCTGGCCAATTAAGAACAGGGATACCATGGTCCTTCAACCAGGTACTGGTAGCTTTGGCACTGTGTGCAGGTGCCAAGTCCTGTTGGAAAATGAAATCTGCATCTCCAAAAAGTTGGTCAGCTGCAGGAAGCATGAAGTGCTCTAAAACTTCCTGGTATGTGGCTGCGTTGACCCTGGACCTCAGAAAACACAATGGACCAACACCAGCAGATGACATGGCACCCCAAACCATCACTGACTGTGGAAACTTTACACTGGACTTCAAGCAACGTGGATGAAGTGCCTCTCTTCTTTTCCTCCAGACTCTGGGACCTTGATTTCCAAAGGAAATGCAAAATTTACTTTCATCAGAGAACATGACTTTGGACCACTCACCAGCAGTCCAGTCCTGTTTCTCTTTAGACGCTTCTGACGCTGTCTGTGGTTCAAGAGTGGCTTGACACAAGGAATGCGACAGCAGAAACCCATGTCTTTCATACGTCTGTGTGTGGTGGTTCTTGAAGCACTCACTCCAGCTGCAGTCAACTCTTTGTGAATCTCCCCCACATTTTTGAATGGGTTTTGTTTCACAATCCTCTCCAGGGTGCGGTTATCTCTCTTGCTTGTACACTTTTTTCGACCACATCTTTTCCTTCCCTTCGCCTCTCTATTAATGTGCTTGGACACTGAGCTCTGTGAACAGCCAGCCTCTTTAGCGGTGACCTTTTGTGTCTTGCCCTCCTTGTGCAAGGTGTCGATGGTCGTCTTTTGGACAACTGTCAAGTCAGCAGTCTTCCCCATGATTGTGTAGCCTATAGAACTAGACTGAAAGACCATTTAAAGGCTTTTGCAGGTGGTTTGAGTTAATTAGCTGATTAGAGTGTGGCACCAGGGGCCATCAATTTTGAACCTTTTCACAATATTCTAATTTTCTGATATGATGAATTTGAGATTTTCATTTGTTGTCATTTGTAATCATCAAAATTAAACAAAATAAACATCTGAAATATATGAGTTTGTATGTAATGTATGAATATAATATACAAGTTTCACTTTTTAAATGGAATTACTGAAATCAATCTACTTTTTCATGATATTCTAATTTTATGACCAGCACCTGTAGTCGCATTCTCAACTTTATTGTTATGGTAATTACAGTTTTATTGCAATTTTTTCAGGAGTGAAATGATTTCACAACATACAGCTGAAGTCAAAATTGAAATGCACTGATTTTCTCTAATTTATGCATGGTCATATTACATACAGTACAGGCTCTAATATTCAGGCCTGCAGTGATTGGCTTTTTCCTTTCCTATCAAACACACTTTTGTCATCAACATAGACTTTGAAGGATTCCTGCCCCCTTCAATACCATATAGTGACTGTAGACATTTGCTTGCTTTGTGTCTTGGCTCTGCACCAATTCCTCACACCAAGCAGGGGGGGTTTCTGATATGGTCGACAAGGCAGCGTTACCATACAGAGCGATATTAGCATGATATCTCGCCGCCGTGCAAAAGCCCTCATGCACCCCCTGCCGCAGATGCACTGCAGCTGGGCGCTAGGAGCGCTATGAGGAAAAAAAAAAAAAATCAAGTATGCATTTTTGTACATGACAGCTTTTGTGCATGTGTAAATGAAATGACTCAATAGCAGAGGCAAGTTACAGATTTTTTTACTTAATTTTAATTTTATAATATTCCTGAGGAAGTTTTAATTATATTTCTTAAAAATTAGAAGGTATTTTTTAGTAATCTTTGAGTATCATTTACATATATTAAGCCAAACCAAATCTTGTCTTTTTTTCGAAATCAAAGTGTGTCAACCTAATTCTGATATAACACTAGTGCTGTTGCAATTTATCAGATAAGTCTAATTAGATGCAGTGTCTAATCCATTAACATTGTAATTTGAAATAAAATTTCATGTCTTTATAAGTGGTTTTCCTGCTTTAGTTTTGAAACCACAAAATTTTCACATTTCATTTGTTTTGTATGTTGTCCCACTGTGATATATGCAACATAAAAAAAGTAAAGCCCTAAACACACCAAATCCGATTTGGCATCGGATCCGACAGAAAAACATGTCGCAAAAGGTCATGGCATTTAGCAATCATTAAAAGTCAATGGGGATGATCACACCCGACACAATTTAGATATATATATATATATATATATATATATATATATATATATATATATATATATATATATATATATATATATATATATATATATATATATATATATATATATATATATATATATATATATATATATATATATATATACATACAAGATCAATAGAGGCCAGGGTCTACCACACCAGGCAGGACCCCCGGTGCAGTGTGTGCAAAGATGCCTCTGAAACAACACAGCACATAACAGCAGGGTGTAAAATGCAGGCAGGAAGTGCATACATGGAACGCCACAACCAGGTAGCTGTCATAGTGTACAGGAACATCTGCCATGAGTATGGGCTGGAAGTCCCAAGGTCAAAATGGAAGACACCTCCTAAGGTAATTGAGAATGACTGAGCTAAGATCCTATGGGACTTCAAGATCCAGACTGACAAACAGGTGAGGGCTAACCAACCAGACATCGTGTTGATCGACAAACAGCAGAAGAAGGCAGTAGTGATAGATGTGGCAATCCCAAGCGACAGCAACATCAAGAAGAAAGAACACGAGAAGCTTGAGAAATACCAAGGACTGAAGGAGGAGCTAGAAAAGATGTGGAAAGTGAGAGCAACAGTGGTGCCAGTGGTAATTGGAGCACTGGGGGCTGTGACCCCCAAACTGGGAGAGTGGCTACAGCAGATTCCAGGTAAAACATCAGAGGTCTCTGTCCAGAAGAGCGCAGTCCTAGGAACAGCTAAGATACTGTGCAGAACCCTCAAACTCCCAGGCCTCTGGTAGAGGACCCGAACTTGAGGATGACACATACCACCCCACGAGGGGTGAGAAAACTGTTTTTTTTTTTATATATAATGTACACATTCTAACAGTCTAATCAGTGAGACTATCAGCTTTGTATCCACCTGACTTCTTCGCATCAAAACTGATGGTCCCATCCCAATTTATAAGGCAAGAAATCCCACTTATTAAACCTGAAATGAAAACCATTTCAGGTGACTACCTCTTGAAGCTCATCAAGAGAATGCCAAAAGTGTGCGAAAGCAAAAGGTGGCTACTTTGAAGAACCTAGAATATAAGACATATCTTTAGTTGTTTCACACTTTTTTGTTAGGTATATAATTCCACATGTGTTAATTCATAATGTTGATGCCTTCAGTGTGAATCTTCAATTTTCATAGTCCTGAAAATAAAGAAAACTCTTTGAATGAGAAGGGGTATCCAAACTAAAGCAATCCCAACCTGTCAACGTGTAACGGATTAAAAGGTGAAGACATGTTTATGACGCACAAAAACATGCAAAACACATGTCATATGTCATGTCTACGTGTCAGAAGTCATGTGTTTTTTAACCACTTGGCTTTCCATACTCGTTTCAATATCTGCGCTCCTTATAGTGTATGTTTTGTGCCACCAACCTAAGTGTGCAGTGAGAACAATGTGCACAAAGGCAGTGTTTAAACTCATGCTCCATATCACCAGCAGCTCAGTAAGCCTTATGTATAGCAGCTTGATAAACGGCAGGCATGGTGATTACTGTAATCGGTGTACAAAAACTATAGACTTAAACTGCATTTACAAAAACATTTAGTGCAAGTATACGTAGTTTGTTATAGATGTAATATTAATGACAATTTTCTAGGATAAATTTACATTCAAAGACGCTTTCCAAGCCTCCGCTCAAGCTTTAAAGTCCAAACCTAACTAGCCCGTTAGTTTTGATTTGATTATGATTGATAACAGTCCATTTCCAATTAGTTTTTGCTGTCATGTACTTATCATCTGTTTAGACACACAGTCTTCCCATCCAAAGGTCTAATATGATTTTCTCTGCTTTCATTTCCTCTCATAGAATGCAGAGGGCTACAATATGAGCATCCCAATGCCTGGACACCCCGTGAATTTCTCTCAGGCCACTCTCTCTCAGGCCCAAAAAGATGTGGAGCAGCTGGAGAAGCTCATTTCCGAACATGATGTGGTGTTTTTACTCATGGACACCAGGGAGAGCCGCTGGCTGCCCACTGTCATAGCTGCCAGCAAGAGAAAGGTAAGAAAGGAGAAGTACAGGATGTGAAATGGCCTTCCACTATTGGCCTTGGGTTGAAGTTCAGGAGCAATTAAAGTTCCCCTTTTGATATTTTACATATTAACAATGACTGACATAATGACATGCCACATCTAAGTGGACACCTGCTGCTGGGCGGGCTGAGCAAATTTACATAATGCTTTGAAAGGCCCTTTAGCCCCATTCAAAACACTGTGTATTTTGATGGGATGCCCTATGCCACCACTGTCACAAAGCTCCGATAATGCCACTGAACAGCTCCATCCATCTGTCTGTACGTACATACATACGGACATAAAATTGTTACAACCATCTCACTCCTTAATTTTATTACAATGAATCAACCAAATAATATTTTATTCTTTATCTTTTAGTTGTACTTTTACAACTGTCACCAATACATATTTGCTCAGTTTTGATTATCTTGAAATATATGCTTTCTTCACTAAATTACACGCTAGACTTACTTTTCCATGCATCTGCTTATAAAGCAGGTAGAATCTTAAATGCTAAAAAACTGTGTTTTTACTAACCTCCTAGATATGATTAATATCATGCAAATGTGATTCTGCTGTTCAATTTAGGCAAAAAATTCTTTAATGTAATTCCAAAGCCAACCTCTGTTCTATTTAATATATCTTTTACATTTTTAGCAGTTGTGAGCTGTAATGGCACTCTTTACTCTCATGCTTAGATTTTCAGTGGATCCTTGAATAAAAAAACAAACAAAACAAGAGCAATGTATCTTGTCCAGGGATAAGGTAGGTTTGTTTTATAAGCTTAGCGGGGGGACGCTGGAGCAACCTTTTTCTTTTAAGATTGCTCTCTGCTGTCAGTGTATCAGCGTGTTCACCTGCCTCGGTGAGCTGATGACAGTCTGAATGATGTGTGGTCCACGTTTTCACAGTGCTTCCCTCATGTATATTTGCAAATAACAGGTAAATGTCTTTAATAACAGACTCTGTGGCCATTATGCTTATTAAAAGTTAGGATTTCAGCATACTATATTTCCTTTATAATTCCAAAACTGTCAATGTAACCAGCATCTGACCTGTAATGCGCCGGGGAGGAAGCCAAGGTGTCAATTAAAAGGCCATTATGCTCATAAAAAGTAACTGTATCGGCTTGATTTTCAGCCAATGGCAACTGTTTTGAGCATAACGATCGCTACGGGGAATACACTGGCAAGAACCCTCCTTTTCTGCCACTGTAGAACATTAAGAGTTTTATTCAGGTACACATGCAGTATTAAAATAAGAGGCACTCAGAATCAACATGCTACAAAGACATCTCCGTTTTTGATGTAAAACAGAAAGTGTTTCTTTTTCCTTATGTTGAGATCCACATATCACATTTTTTTATGTGTATGCATACCACAATGTAAGGAAAGGTTTTACTGTAAATATTTAATCTTTGCTTTAGATTAGCTATAGCTTTTAAACACACTAAAAATAAAACAAAATTGCATGTTGTGAAAGTTACACAGTATAAAAGCCTATGTACATTACAGTCCACCTACTACATTCTCTGTAACACCATCAAGCTTCACTCTAAATCCTTGAAACCCAAAAAGAGCATGTGTGATAGGTCTTTAATTTGACGTTGATTATGGAGAGCAGGTGCATGGACAGTGATGTTCAGAGTAGAGACAGAAAATGTGGAACCTTTATCATTAATTAACACGAAAGGAACAAGCACAGAGGATTTGGAATCTGGAGGTTAATCTGCTTTTACTTTCTTGATGAGGGATTCATTCAATTATTTCAGTGTAACTCAATGTTGCTGTATCCCTCCCTTCAAGATTTAATGAAACAAAGCTGTTCTTTTAAACCTAGGCTAACTTCACACAGTAGGAAAAATGTGACCCAAATCTAATCTTTTTGTCAATATGCAATTCATATGTCATATCAGAGATTTTCACGTCAGCCTGAATGGCACAATTCTGGTCTTTTTACCCCATTAAACAAAATCCAATTTTTGTATCAATACAGTTTGGCAATGTGTCGAAACACTTCAAGATGCCTCATTAACCCATCACTACTAATCAGTTAGTTGTTTGGCGTTTCAGATATTTTTGGGACATTTTATGACATTTTTTTCATATTAGAGCTAAACTTCATAGCCATCTTTTTAAAAAAGATTAAAAAAATATTTTAATCTGGTTTAGCTAATTCTGACATACATCTGTTTGATAATTGCTATTCAAAAGATAATAGCTGCCATTAAAACTGTAATCTTAATTTTTCTTTTAATAGCTGGTGGTGAATGCTGCTTTGGGCTTCGACACGTTCGTTGTGATGCGGCATGGCCTGAAGAAACCCCATGTCAGCCAGAGTGTTTCCACGGGAACAGACTCCTCTGCTTCTGCTTCCTCTGCTTCCTCATCATCCTCTACTCCAGCTGGATCTGCCCCCAGTGTCCCAGGATCCTCCCTCTTCTCCAACATACCAGGGCACAAGTTGGGCTGCTACTTCTGCAATGATGTTGTTGCACCAGGAGATGTGAGAAAACCTTTTTAACAGCTACAATCACATTCATAAAACACAAATCTTACTAAACCAGTGGTTTGCAATCTTTACACCACAGAGCATTTTTTACCCATAGTCCAGCCAGATAAAACTTGAGCCACAAATGCTGAAAAAACAAAGAATAATTCTACGCCAAAACCAAAAGTGTATAGCATAAGTGTTAACAAAAAAAGACATGACTGTGGTCCTAAACTAGCTGGTCATATAGAGTAAAATAATGTATAAAGAAATCAGTAACTGGAGGACGATGATAACGCTGAAGAAGCTGCAGAGTTTACTCTTCACTTTCTGTTGACAGGGAAGCTAATAATGAGCACTCCACAATCCAAGTATTTATGGAAGAAAGCCGTAACATTTATATTTTTAAAACTATTGCAAAAAAAAAAAAAGCCATTTAAGGGACATTACCACAAGTTGAAAGGGTTGTCTTCCAGCAGGACACTGACACTGAAATATCCAGCCAGAGCTACGGTAAAACAGTTCTGATCAAAGGTCATTACAAAAACGATGTTTCGCTTCCCATCCAGGAAGCTTTTTCAATTCAAAATATCAGAATTAGCGTTGAGTGCAACGCTTTATAGAGTGGACCAAAACAAAGCCACGGGTCCGCCCCTTAGGAAAGGGGAGTCTTTTGGGTTCTTTGTTAGCCTGCAATACCTGACACTGGTCTATGCCTCTGAAAGGAGGGTCGTCAGGGGGAGTTGTTGGCCTGGCTAAACAGTCAAGATGTTCTGGTCCCCTGTGTGGGGGCTGCGATGATAGCGGGAAGGAATCAACTCTATTGCTGCAATCTTTGGAATGACTATGACCTAAATGACTAAGAATCTTCACCAGCCTTCTGATCAAAGGGTTTTCATGTGAATCCTGCAGTAGGTAACAATCCAGTAGGTAACCATGCTCAAAGACTTGAGGATCAATGTTATCCAAAGCTCATCATCGAATGTGACAACGCTTGAGCAGTTGGTAAATAACAATTGTCAAAATGTTTATAGTTCAAACCTGGCAGATCAATGCCCCAGAATGCATCTATGTGTAACTGCAGCAGAAGATGTTTTTATATATTTTGGACGCTGTGGTATGAATGAAAATGCACCCCACCCTTTCAGCTCCCCTTTGTGTTTCTGCTTTTGCTATAAAATCCAAATTAAATATCATAAATGGTGAAGTGTAACATGACAAAATGTGGAATAGTTCAAGGCAAATCAATACTTTTGTGAGTAATTTTCTTTTTGTTTTATTTGATCAATAGAGGAATAATAAATATTCTTCTTAGTTTATGTATATAAATAAATAAAATAATTATTTCACTTAATTAAACATGCATTTATTTCTGGATTGGAGTCTTCAATACTTATTGTACCCGCTGTATGTATGTATATATATATATATATATATATATATATATATTATTAGTCATTAACATTAAATAAGTTGCATTTGCACCAGATTTGACCCCAACCAGCAAAATAAATTGGAAAATTATTGCGTCACTTGTAATCTACAAGAGAGAGAAAATGAATTCTGAATATCCATGTGAACCAGGGAAATTGGCTTCTATTACTGTTTTTAGTATCTGTAAAGGTGTCACCAATTTAATCCTTAAATGTGTTCAGATTTAAAGCAAAAAAAAAAACTTATATTCATTTATGCAATTCTTGTATAAAGCAGTGCTAGCTCAACTTGTAAACTTTACAGAAATCCCATTTTTTCCATCACCCACATTATGCTTTTGTTCCCTGACAGCCTATGTTTTGCACCCTTTTGTCTTTTTTTTAACCCTCCCTCATTACCTTTTCACGTGAGCATTGTTTGAGCTCTGTTCATCAGCCATGAAAGACCAAAGCCATTTTCTGGAAACCGGTTTTATTCTGCCTCGAGTTCTACAAATACCATTTAGCTGTCGCCCCCAGTCACAGATTATAGTAATATTATCATCAAAATTAGAGCCAACTGCCTGCTTTTACTACAATTTACATGTGGAAGAGCTTCACTTTGGGGAATGAATAGCGACAAATTTTAATAATGTAATGCAGATACAAGTCGCTTTTGTTTTGTGGTCTTCTGGGTGTTATTACAAATATCTCATTACCGTGAATCTGATCAGCTGTCTTAATGAAATGAAACACGCTCTGGGGATCTTATAGATTTTCCTCTCCATCTGTTGTGGATCAACAGAGCTTTGCACCCTTACTCTTAGATAAAGTGCAATTTTTGAAGACACTAATGGCTCATTCTTCCATCTATTGGCTTCAGAGCTCCCAGTTTAATCTGGGAGAGATGACCCTGCTGTCAAGGAGAGGGACAAGCTAATGATGCTGTTGCATCAATAAAAGCCTCTTTAGATGGAAATATAGCAATGATTATTGATGGGTTTCTTCAGCTTGAGACTCTGAATTTGACCTTAGTCCTTTTAGACATGAGAATCGTGTAAACTAGATTTTTCTGAGCTGAAAGCCATTTTGATTTATGCAATACAATCCGCTTTACCTATCATAGCTGGCTTTATTTAAAATATGAGTTTGTGTTTTTATCCTTTTATGTGAATAGTCCACGAGGGATCGGACCTTGGATCAGCAGTGCACTGTCAGCAGACCAGGCCTTGCCATGATTGCTGGAGCCCTGGCTGTGGAGCTGATGGTGTCCATTCTTCAGCACAGTGAAGGGTACGTTTTCCAATTGTTATCCTGCTTCCAGCTGAAGTGACTTGGTCACTCTTTGCCTGCAATGTCTAAAATGGAAATATCAGATTAGCAAAACAGTTCATATAGTATTAGCTGGTAAAAAAAAACAGGTTGATAGTTGACAGAAGATGCTAAATATCCTTTTAAGCTGATTTCTATCCTACAGATATAGAAAAATATCTGTAATTGTTACATTAAACTAAACAATTGTGACTAACCATTTTTTTTATCTGTTAATGCATCAGATACAGGTACAATTCAAAAAGGTGCTGGAAGTATGGTCTGTTTGTATGTAGTGGTGGTATGGTCTCTATGATAGTTCTTAGATTTGAAGTATTGAATGAACAGTAAAAAAAAGTATATTCCTCAGAATATTATCTGCTGAATATTGATCGGAGCCAATCAGTCATATTTTAGGTTCATTTGCTCGTACAAACAGGAGGACTCAAATATTCCTGATTCTAAAAGAACTTCATTGGCTGCCAGTGTCTTATAGGATCATATTCAAAGTTCTAGTTTCGTCTTTCAGAGCCTTTCATGGTCAGGCTCCTTTTTACATCGGTGATCTGATTCAGCCTTACACCCCAGCGCGGGCTCTGAGGTCTGTGGATCAGAATCGTTGAAGGTTCCACGAACTGGTTTTTATTCCTTTCAGGCTGTTGCTCCCACGCTTTGGAATGATCTTCCGCTTGCATTGTTCTCTGTTGACTCTGTTGTCCCCTTCAAGAGCTTACTTAAGACCCATTTATTTGTACAGGATTTAAATTAACTACCGTTTAGGCTGCAATGATTTCCTATTGTCTTGGCCTTTTATAGTGGGTATTCTCTGAGGTTTTAAACTGTGTTGTGAAGCACTTTGTGGCTTTGGTCTGTAAAAGGTGCTTTATAAACAAAGCCTACTTATTTAGTCTTAATTTGTGCAAATTAAAAGTAGGACTTTTGTGGTCCAGACTAGCTTTTCAAAGTATTAAAATATGTTTCTATCCTTATCATTATTTAATTTGAGATTAATTTGCTTTTCTGTAAGGTTCTGCAGATATCAATTCTTGTACATATTTCTCATCTCTTTATAACTTAAAATGAAATTACCTTTATTATTGGTGTATTAATGTTTGTTTTCATATTTTGTAAAGGCTAACCTTTCCTTTACATGACTACAAACAAAGCATCTACACAACCTAAGGTCTCTCCCCAATAAGCATTAAACCTGCTTTGAGCTACAAGTCCCTGATGTCAAATATTCTGTCATCAAGCAGCCAATCATCCTCTGAGCTCTCCTTTGGGAAGCTCCCAAATGGCTACTTGTGTTTTTATTCATGAATGAAGGCATTTTTTTCAACTGAATGCCTGCAACCCTTTCCTCCCACCTCGGTGCTGCGTGTTTTCTTCATAGTTCTTTGCACATTATGATAGAAAATAGAAAAAGAAGGCTTCCGTTTTTTTCCTTTTATACGTCACATCTGAATCTGAATTAAACGAAGCTCTTTCCAAGGACTTGTAAACATTAGACTCCTGGCTGTCATAGCAAGCAGCCCTTTACACCAGTAGCTGTTGAGATTAAGTGAACTTTGATAAATGCTAGATAAAAGTAAAAGAGGTGATGCCTTATTGATGGAGGAGCTGTATAGCTGAAGTTTTACTCTGCCACAGTTATTATCAGACTTTTTTTTTTCTCAGCTGTCCTGTATTTTTTGCTTGTCTTTTGAAACCAAGGTTTAGTGAACTCTTAAGTTCTCTTTGTAATCTGGGATTGCTTGATATTTCCTGCACCTATTTAATCTTTTTTTTTCCAAAATGTTGAAGGAGATATTTTTCTGCCTATTGAATGTGTAGTGATGTGCACCGATGTGCCTCTGTAAAAATAGAGCTTTAAGTGTGTGTTTGTACTAAAGAGGCCACTTGCTGGGCATGATGGGACAGCTATTTTCTCTCCGAGTGTTTTGAGATGCAATAAGCTGTTACCCAGCTGTTCTTTCTTTCTGGCATGAAAAGCTTTCAGAGCAAAGATAGGAATATGCTTTTTTGTACTGTTTGTACATGCAAGGGTTTCAAACTTCTGTCTATATGTTGATGTCTCCCACTTTTAGGTTGACTCTCAATGCTAATTCTTGCCTTGCCTTATTGGTTCCTTTTAACCCATTTTGTATTATGAATTTGTCCCCCATAATTCCAAATAATGATTGTAAAATGGAGTATTTCTTTCTCACAACTCCGGGTCTCACATAATTGGCATGTAGGTATTCAAGCAGTTTGACAGACATTTCTGACTCTGTAAAACCACTGTCAGCTCAGTGTGAAATGTAAAATTTTCATAATTGTTGTTTGCAAAGAGCAAAATCTTTTCTAACGGGCTAGGGTACTTGTAGCCATGGAGCTCATACAAAAGCTTTAGTGTTCTTTCAATCTGTGTTCATGAAATTCAATGTACTACAATAAGCTCATGTCTTTTTGTGCTCATGCCAGTTTTGAGTTTAGCTTTTCTTTGTATTTGGCAAACATCTCAGACTGCAAAAAGCTACTACGGAAAGGCATATTGGTCTGAAAAACGGCCACCTATACAGTTAAAAACAGATGCTTACATGTTATGAAAAAGACACATTACATCCTTGTTTTTAAAGGTTGTTTTCTCATTTTTTTTTTAAAGTTTACATACAGTACATCTTAGCATTTTTCGCAAATTTGTTATAAAGCTGTCTTGCCCTATATAGTTCACATAATATTTTTCCCTTACCTTGTTAGGTGCAACAACTCTCTGATAGCAAATGAATAAATAAATAACAAAAAAACAAAAATGCCACCTAGGGCTGGGTGATATGTCATCAAATCAATATCACGATAAATTGGGCAGTTTTACCTCGATAACGATAAACGCATGATAAATACTGCGGCTCCTCTTATCAGAAATAAAGGCATGTGGAGGAAATGTAACTGATCTATTTATAATTTATTTCTTGAGTAAATACATATTACCTTTAATTGAATATAAAAGCCTTGTGCCCATTCAGGTTTAAACTTTCAACAATGTCTCATTGAACAGGAGAAAAATGGTACCTCTCTTGCAATCATTTTTGCGCAAAGGATAATGGAGCCCTTTTCACATCTTTGAACTCAACAGAGTGGTTGTGCTGTAGGTGGTGGAGGTTGGATGTGTTACTTTGAGTAGCCCCGACAGTTTTCAGACAAACCTTGCATTTTGTGTTCTTTTGCTCAGCATCTATGGTGTAATTTTGGTGCCACCGAACAAGTGAGCAGTGAGAACAATGTGCACTCTTTAAACTCACACACCCTCACTCGAAACTGGTCTGCCGCACGCTCAACTCTGACAACTCGCTCTTGACTTCTTCTCTGCTCGTTTTGCTCCATCTCTGCTCTCACATGGCACCACAAGATTAACTTAAGTAATTTAATTTACATGTGTTAGACGTTTCTTCACTGGACTCATCCGTCATTCTCTTTGTTTACACTTCTGATTAGATCGTTGGAGTCACATGATTAGACACATACTGCCAGGGAAGGAAATAGCAGCCACCAGCACACACAGGCTAAACAGCAAAATGATGTTTATTTCTTTTACCGCCAGTTATCGTGGTGAATGACAGTAATGGTAAAAATCCAGTTTATAGCCCAGGCCTACTGCCACCACTGTACTCTATAATCAAGTGGGAATGCTTAAGCATTCCCACTTATTGTTTTTCTGTTTTTCTTTATTATTATTATTATTATTATTATTCCGTACGTTTTTGGTCGTTAAACTACTTCAACAGTTTTCAGCCCACTTCAACAAATTTGGTATCAAAACGTTCAGCTTCTTCAGGAGAATGATGCTATATCTTTTGGTAAAGATATTTCTTGTAGTTTTCGCGATATTCAGCTTTTTGTGCGATTTTTGGCCCCATTGAAATGCATGTAGAATTCTCAGATTTCAGCAAAATTCAGCTAAAACTTCAACTACTTTCACCTTTAACTACTTCAGCATACTTTCAGCTAGAAACACCATTCAACTTTTAAAATGTTTCCGTATCTATCTGCTATTACTGTTTAACTCAGCTTTTTGCTAACTTTTACAGTTTTACTTCAGTGAAGCTTCAAACTTTAAAAGAAATTTTAACGATTTTCAGATTTATAATGGAAGTCTATGGACGGAATTCTTCAACTGCCAGAGTGCGTGCTCTAGCTTTTGAGCTGTTCTGGTTTTTCCGAACAAATTCTTCTCACTCCCTCATTTTTCACTCAATTGAAATAAATTATACATCAAAACGTAGGAATTTTTGTCAGGATTCAGGAAATGTAACCCTCATTTGTGTGGCATTTACGGTTTTCCGACAGTTTGGCCCAGACCGTGAAGAAGTCCACACTTCCCCAATAGAAATCCAATGAGAGCTCTCTGAAAATCCGAACTGAAAATTCAAAAAAACAGACTTTTTCGTATCGCTCCCATTCGGGAACCGTTCGACGTAGCAACATGAGCCTTGTGGAAGTTGTTCCTCAGACCTTCCTAGCACTCACATTGAAGGAAGTGTGTCGATATATTTTATCGTTTAGCTAAGAAAAAGGTTTGTTCGGGGGTAACAAATCTGTCCGAACCCCAAAATCAAGATTTTGACAATTATACACTTTTTTACATCGTCACCACGCCTAGACGAAATATTGTAGAAATATAAAAGTTACAACAGTTGTAGTCCAAAAATGGCTGACGCTCACGGTAAAAGAATTTTTTGAATACCTAATACGGTTTTGGCTCACCGCTCGTTTGTTCGGAGGGAAAGTTTTGCTTTTGAGAGTTCTGCTCTACCATTGAGCTGCATGTTAATCAATGAGACCAGCAGGATTTCTAAAACCTTTAAATTCCTCCTTCCCATTAAGGCTGTGAATGAGCTACAGCCATGAAAGTTACCCCAATCGGAGACAAAGGATAGCTCTCGCTTAGACTGAAATAATTTTTTGGATAATATTTACGGTTTGTCTTCAGCACTCGTTTGTTCGGAGCTGATAATCCCATTCAAAAAAGCCTGAGAACAAAGGAACGAAAGTGAAGCGCGTTTCTCTCTTTCACTGACAGGCTCATTAAGCATTGTCAAGGTAACCGTGCTTCAAAGAGATTTTACCTCCACCACTTTAAACAGCACATTTGAATCTAATGGAGGGAGACAACACTGATTTAACATTAGGAAGTGGATACAATATGACTACTGGCCATGACCCTTCCCTTCACACGCAACCCTGATAGACTTTCAAAATAAGACTCCGGGGACCCTTCAAAATAAAAGCCCCTACATTAAACTCATATTTTTTTCCCAGCATATGGCTCAACATTATGACCCAAACTCAACCACTTTTTTAAAAATGAGACTCTAGGGGGTTTTCAAAACCCACCCCACAGAAAATTTCAAAATAAAAGCCTCCCATTGCCACTTTATCTACTGCCCTAATAACAGTGGAAAAGAGTGATTTAACGATTAGAAAGTCATCAAGTATCATTGCTGGGTCTGACCCTTTTCTCAACACACAACCCTGCTAGACTTTCAAAATAAGACTCCAGTGACCCTACAAAATAAAAGCCTCTATGTTATACTCGTGCAGTAATTGATGCAAATGGCTCAGCATTATGACCCAAACTCTACCAGCTTGTTTCTATTAGACTCTAGGAACCTTTTCAAAACATACCCTAGAGCGAATTTCACAATAAAAGTCTCCCATTTACGCTCTAATGCAGCATCTATTCACCCAATAACATGGAAAACCAGTGATTTCATATTTAGAAATGGATGCTATATCACTGCTGGGCATGACCCTTCCCTTGACACACATACATGATGGACTTTCGAAATAAGACTAAAGGAACTCTACAAAATAAAAGGCTCTTCCTTACACACACTCATTCATTGTGCCGTATGGCTCGTAGCTATGACCCAAACTCAACCAATTTCTTCAAAATACACTACCAAGGCCTGTTGACCACACACCTCAGTGCATATTTCTTAATCAGGTTCTAAGATTTACACTGTAATAAAGCATCAGCTAACCTCGTAACATGCAGCCTACGTTTTTTTTGATAAATTCAGCTCCTTAAGTGGTATTGGCTCTCTTTCTATAAGCTTCTCTCTCTATCCTTACTCTGCTTCTTATGGTCAGTCTTGCACATAGGTTTTTAGATTTTCAATCCTCTAAGGATGACACTGTTTTCTCATGCTGATCAACCGACACATTTTAAATCATTTCAAATTTTTTTGCCAAGTCTTGACATTTCCACATATGATTTCAAAATTTTGATACTTATTCAACACCATCTTCCTCAACATTTTACTTCCCATCCTTAAGCTACTACTTTTTTCTTCAACCAGATAAGATTCAAGTTTTTCTTTGTAATTTATTTTCTAATTCAGCTAACTTCATACTTTTCAGCCTATGTTGTGAACTTTGGCTTCATTCTGCTCTCTTTCTGGACAGGAATTAAGCTTTTCTGTTTGCTGCTAATTCATCTGACATGTTTCTGGAAAGTAGATGCCCCCCCTTAAAAATTTCTTTTGAACTTTTTCTAGAAACTTGGGAGACATTACATTTAGACCCTTCTAGTGCCCACATTTAAGACATTTTTTGATATCATGTATGGTTTGGCTCTGCAGCTTTTAAGATGAGTCTGTTTCTGCCATTTTGCTGCCAAATGATTCTACCCTACAAAATCTTCAGATGATTCAAATGTTTTCTGCAGTTTGAAGTTTCTGAAGACTTCCTATCACATGTTCATATGTTCCTCAGCTAATTTGTGCTTCTTTTCCTTCTTGCAGTTTCTTTTGCTAATTTTTATTATTTCGTTCAGCAAAAAAAGCATTCCCACTTTGCTGTTTCTGCGAAACAGCTTTTTCTAGTTTGGATGTTGTTTGTGAGTATGAAACTTTCCAAATTTGTAACTTTGATTATTATAGCGATACACATCAAGCTTTCCATGCTCCCTTTTGAGCAATGCCTTCTTCCTTGCTGAGCGGCATTTCAGACCAAATTTGGTTGTGTGGTGTATTCTTGAGTATCGAAAATAATCGAATTGTTGGGTCATGATGCGTGTGATTTACACCCCTACCGTCCATCCATCCGTCCATCCATTTCCTTCCTCTCTCTCTCTCTCTCTCTCTCTCTCTCTCTCTCTCTCTCTCTCTCTCTCTCTCTCTCTCTCTCTCTCTCTTTCTTTCTTTCTTTCTTTCTTTCTTTCTTTCTTTCTTTCTTTCTTTCTTTCTTTCTTTCTTTCTTTCTTTCTTTCTTTCTTTCTTTCTTTCTTTCTTTCTCTCTCTCTCTCTCTCTCTCTCTCTCGCTCTCTCTCTCTCTCTCTCTCTCTCTCTCTCTCTCTCTCTCTCTCTCTCTCTTTCTTTCTTTCTTTCTTTCTTTCTTTCTTTCTTTCTTTCTTTCTCTCTCTCTCTCTCTCTCTCTCTCTCTCTCTCTCTCTCTCTCTCTCTCTCTCTCTCTCTCTCTCTCTCTCTCTCTCTCTCTCTGAATCGTTTTCAATAAAGTTTCGTCTACAAGTACCAAGCATAACCTTATGGCAACAGTCATAAGGGTCTACTTGTAAAAGCAAAGCTGTTGGGCTACTTACAGGTTTAAAAAGAAAAAAATTTATTTAGCAGGTTTTTGACATAAACCTGTGTCTGAAACTGTGAGCTATGAGATTAGCAAATGATAATCTTTCTCACAACAGGTTTGATGCTTTTTCCATTTATTTTATTTTCGTAATGTATTAAAAATCTATCAAGAGAACCCAAACATTTGAGATTTCAAGGAATTAAACTCATAGTTTAGGCATTTTGTGATTTGTAATCGCAATATCCCCTTCAGCATTCATCTGTCTTTATCATTTTCTCACATAGAAGGTTTAAATTTTCTTTCATTCAGAGAATATTATGTTTCAGTTCTGTTTGAGTAAAGGTTTGGATTTTTGACTCCAAATAGATTTTCTAATGTTGATTTCCATTTTCAGGGGCTATGCTGTGGCCAGCAGCAGTGACGACAGAATGAACGAACCTCCAACCTCTCTCGGTCTTGTACCTCATCAGGTCAGAACTGCACAGACCCTCTTATAATCATCCATTTCATTACCAGTGAAACGACTCTGCTTTGAGCAGCATGAATAAATGCATAACAATCATACTTATGCAGTATGTAAAACGGAAATAATAGGATTAAATAACCATTTTTGGCTCACTCTGGTTGCACAAGTTTCAATTTATTGTAGATCTGTACAAATTCTCACTGTGCCAATGGTTTACACAGCTGAAATGTAAATATACGCCCACTGTATTATTCAGTTCAGTGTAGTTTGGATTCTGTGTTTAGTTGTCAAGAGTCTTGCTGGATATTTGCTGGCTGGATGTTTGACTACTTTCCTTGGCAGAAGCAGTAAGGCTTATTTAGATTTGCTCTCTCTTAGATTTAGTATTAAAGCACAGTCAACATATTTTCAGTAGCTTTGAAGTCCATGTTCTAGGACGGAGGTTTCAACAATGTTAATGTTTGGTAACCTTATGTTTTCATAAACAACTTAAAAGGTTTAGATTGCTCTGTAAATGGCCACTTTAAACAGATGCGTTTTTATTCTTAATATAAAGCAGCTGAGGGTTTCAACACTTTTACAGCTTCCTGGGAGTGTATTCCAGATTTATGGAGCATAAGTGATAGAGTCCCAATTCCGTTATTAGTTGGATATCTGTCCGATATTTGCTAAAAAAACTAATATCAGATTTTATCTGCTGTGATCAAAAATTTGGGGTATATCATGCTGATAGAAATGCTCTGCTTCTGCTAAAAGCTCCAGTAACTCATTAGTTAATTTTACATGTGTCAGTCGTGGCCGAACTTGGTTTGAATCCGACCTGGGGTCCTTTGCCGCATGTCTCTCGCCCTCTCTCATGCGACCTTCCCTGTCAGCCTACTGTCCAAAAAAAATGAACCACTAGGGCCGTAAAAAATACCATGACCTCGTCCGACAAGATTTTCTGTCAGGTCTGATGCAAAATCAGATTCTGTTTTTTCTTGCCTTAAGCCATTCAGTGATTTATAAACAGACTTATTTAAAAGTCTATTCTTTGAGAGAAAGCAAACCAATATAATGATTTTAGTACTGGAGAGATGTGCTCCAATTTCTTTGTTTTGCTGAGGATGAAAGCAGCAGCATTCTTGATCTGCTGCAGCTATCTGATTGACCTTTTAGGCAGAACTGAGAGGACAACGTTGCAATAATCAGTTCTTCTAAAGATGAACACATAAAGTAGTTTTTCAAAGTCCTGCTGAAACATTGTTCTATTAATTCTAGAAATGTTCTTTAGCAAATTGAAGGATTTATGTGTCTCTGAGGGATCAGTTCCGAGTCCATTAGAACAACTTCTTAGCTCCAGTGTTTAAGGGGAGCTCACACTACCATAAAGCGATGTTCTAGGTCACATGACCGACTTTGCAATGGATGGACCCTCTTTACACAGGCCAGGTTTGAAGGAGGGCACCCCACACAAAGCATCGCTGCACGTCAAGTGCTGTTATTTGCTATTATTATATAATATATGCTATTATTTATTTTAATATATTTTAAATGAAACTAATAACTGGATAAAAAATTTAAGTGTTGATTTAATCAAGTCAAACTTTTCCCCAAATGCTATTTAGAGTATCTAAGATGCAGTGAGATTAAGCCTTTCTTTTAAGCTTTTCACTTGATGCTTAGAGGCAGCATCATGCTGAAGCAGAAAAGACAAAAAAAAATTATCCAGAGAGCTAAAGCCATGGATTACTGCTGTCCCAGAGGATCAATTCATAACTCATTGCAAGTATTGTTATACATAAGTCTGTGCTCAATTTATTCATAAAGAGCGTGGAAAAAGAACTATCGTTTCTATTGTGGTCTAAGTTTCAAGTCTTTTGCAGTCCCAGTTGGAATTGTCAGAGTACACATCCTTTTTGGAGTGAGGTGTTCAACCGAAAAATTTGAATGACAGAATGCATTTTTTTCTTTTGTGCCATCTCTCTCCTTCTCATTATGTGTAAAATAATGTTGATAAAAGCATTGATATTCTGCTGCACATAAAGATCGAGTGTAAATTACTGAATCTCCATAAGTGAAGGCATTCTACTATACTATTATCGATCATAGTAAACCTCTCTGGTTCAAACTAAGACCTAAATGTCCTTTCAAATCAGAAACCTTATTTGGGTTGTCCATGATAGTTATTGGCCTATACTTAGTATTTGATAATAAATTCAAATAAATGGCTAGGTAACATTTTCCTATTTCTTTGTTTTCTAGTCTTTAATATACACATAGATCATTGTATTTATCCCTTACTAGCTTGTGACGTTAATAACCAGCAAAATGTATTCTCTTTAAGTATAAATGCTTGCATGAAAATAACTCCTAGACTACAAATTGTTTTTCCTACAAAGTAAAAGGTTCTGGAAATTGTGTTGTGATTATAAAATATTGCTTGTTTATTTCTGTTTTCAACTCTTTGTTGTGAGATTTACTTGACAATATGCACAGGAAATGTTTGTGGTTAGAATTTGCTTATCTCCACACAAATAAAAATACTTCTCTCTCTTTGACTGGTGTGAATGAAGTGCAACCACTTCAAAAATAATCAAGCCGTACTTGTCCTTCATTATGTTTTCAAATTAAAAAGCTTTAATTGGTCCTGAATGAACTGAAAAGTAAAACTACGGGAAAATGGATTTACTCTGTTCAGTTAAAACCTCATATTCCTGTAGTGAAGAGGTCTTCAACAGGGGGTCCACAGAGGTACTGCATGGGGGTCGCGTTTTGGTTGATTACTTTTCTTTTATATTCCCCCCTGCAATTTTTTCGACTAATTGAAATGTCTTTAAATCCACATTAATATGAATTCAACACACTGTAGTAAACAGATAAATGGAGAAGATGTCTTTCAGTCATCAATGCACACATTCAGCGACACACAGGAGCTCTTTCAAGCTGGGCACCGTTTCATTCACAACACCTGTACCATCAATGAGGAATAAGAATCAGAATTAGAAATGCATTAATAATCCCAGAGTGAAATCACTTTAGTTACATTACACCATTTGTAATAGAGTGACTATAGGATCAGTTTGATATAAAGCAATTTCATACAATATATAAGATAAGGGGGTCCCCGTTCCATCTCTCCATCAGTTTGGGGGTTCTTGGGCTGGAAAATGTTAAAGACCCCTGCTGTAGTTGAAATAACTACAATTTAAAGCAGTATTTTCAAAGCAGAACTTGTTAATAAATGTTATTTACACCCATATACAAAATTGAAATGTCTCTTGTTCCTCAAAATGGATATAGCTTTATGTCAGGTCATTTCAGTGGTTAATTGTAGTGTTATTAATAGAAAGCTCAAACTGGACCATTAATGAGCAAACTGCTCATGACTCAAAGCTGCTGTAATTAAGAGACATCTGTTTGAGCTAGACTTGGAAACCCATTTACTGAGCATTTAGGGCAATTTTTTAATGACCTTCATCCTAAGGCTGCTGATATAAGCGTATTTGTTTTGGTTTTTTTATTTAAAGTCTTTAGACCCTTTCAATATATCTAATAGGGGTGGGTATTGACAAAGAAGTCCAGTTTCGATTCCAATCACGATTCACATGCCACGATTCGATTCTATCACGATGCATCAGGATACTTGAAATATTGCGATGCATTGCGATATTTTCACTGAACACTGTAAGAAAAAGATACAGCCCTTACCAGTGGCTGACTGGCTGGGTGTGATCTGGATAGTGTCTTCAATTGATACCTAACTGAAAGCAACTGAATTCATACATAGCTGTATTTACTGAAATTACTTTTGGAGGTGTTGCCATGAAAACAAATACTGGACAGAAATATTACTATTACTGGTGTGGACACACTGACAAAAAGATCTTAGGATTCATCAAACTTAAAATAACAAAAAAAGGATAATCAGTGCCGTTTACATGGCCTCAGTGGTCCTTTAAACCAATAAAACGAAAACATTTCCCCTTTTGCAAATTACGTGCGTCATATCAATTTCATTTTTACCTTCTTTGTTTTTAAAGCCAAAATGCATCCAAGCATCTGTCTTGAAATGTGATGGAGGTGTGGGGCAAATTTTCATAGTGTCTTCCATGTTTTATTTCATATGACTCGTCGCAGTATCTCGCGACCGTACATGCTTGTGACACAAAGCAGCAGGCGTTAACACATCCACAGCGACATCTGCTGGACTGAAGTTGTATTCCACTTGGTTAGGCTCATGTGCGCCAACCATTCATGTATTTAATTTGTTCATTTTTTAAAATTAAGAATCAATGTCAAGAATCGATGCAGTAGATCACAAAAATTAGAATCACGATGCATCGTCATGACGATTATTTTGCGCACCCTTAATATCTAATATAGGAGTGGATCATGCAGCTTTATAAATAACTTACATGTGTTTATAACAGCCAAATTAGACTTTATGAAGTGCTATTTCCAGCACACAGTCCATTTCCTTTCAGTTCTAAAATATTTCTTCCAGGCTTTACTATAAGTCACATGATGCATATGTTAAATCTCAATTTTTGAAAAACTTAAACTGAGTTGAATGTGTGGATTCTGCTGGTCGAACTGTTCCCGTGTCGTGGTCTTGGTGCAAGGCACAACTCCACAACCTCTTTTCAATCATGACTACATCTTAAAATCAGTAAAATGTAAAACATACCATGCTCCATTCAAATTGTTATTTAAGTTTGCATCTAAAATTAGATTGTAGGAATTCTAGGTGAGGAAATTGCTTCTATAACATTGCTACAGATGTTATAGAGTCAAATGAGTCACTAAAATTTGCAGTCATTTGTTTTTGCATAGTGCTGTTTTGTCCTTGTAAAGTATTTTAACATGATCAGCTTGGTTTTATTTGCTTTGTTGCATCATGTGATTTATTAATTTTTTGACCCACTCTTATAAATTTTGAAAGGATACTGTGTAGAATTTCCCTACATTGTGATCAGATTGCTACCAGATATTGTCTGTCAGAGAGATGATGTCACATTTGAA